GAAACTGAATAATATACAATACCTAAATCAAACATTGAAGAAATTCCTTGCTTCAACAGCGATTCGAACACACGACCACGCCTTCTCTTTCAGGGCTCCAATACCAGCCAGGTAAATCAGAAACGAACGAGGAAGAAATGTTGACAACATGAATATGGACTTGGCAACAATTCTCGAATGGGGATCCAATAACTTGCTAGATTTCAATGCAAACAAAACACAAGCATTCCTTTTCTCTAGAAAAGCCGATCTCACTGTACCCAACATGAGCTTGTCAGGAGTAACCATACCTTTGAAGACATCCATTTCGATGCTTGGTATTACTATCAGCAATAACCTTTCTTGGGAAAATCACGTGAGATTATATGCTGAGAGTGCATCCCAAAAACTTGGTTTCCTGTTTCGGGCCAGGAGCAATTTCACTTCCAGTCAGCTGCTTATGAACTTTGAGGCACAGATCTGACCTGTCCTAGGATACTGTTTTCATATTTGGAGTTCAACACCCAAACATACCCTGAAACCGTTGGATTCTGCCCAAAAAAGAACAATTTGTCTTGTGGGTGATGCCTCGCTCACAAACTCACTCACTTCTCTGGAACACCGTAGGAAAGTTGGCAATCTGGCCCTATTTTATAGCTATTTTCATGGACGATGCTCTTCTGAAAAATCAACAATTGTTTCTTTCTTGGCAGTCCCTGCGAGATTAACTCGTCTATTTGATGCTTCGCACCCCTTCGTGGTCACTTTGGAGACCTGCAGAACATCTCTTTCGTTCTCGTTCATTTCACGAACAGCGAGGCTCCGGAACACATTGCCAAGGAAGGTGTTCCACGAGGCATATAACCTCCAGAAATTCAATGAATTAAGGAATTGGACGAACACCAATTCCTACCTTATTCCCCTTGGTTCCCACGATGTCGTTCTCTGAACATTACAGGATATCCCTTTTCGTCGGAAACAGATCATAAAAAAAATCAAGTTTTTATAATTCGTTGAGTTCTACCCTTCGTTTCTTCATTTTTTTGAATCAATATAATTTTTTTTGGATACCTGTTTGTATGTACCACGAATATTGTGACTCAATACTGATGAGACGTGAAACGAGCTTCAGAAATAATAACACATAGGCTTACAGTGTTGCCGAAATTCGGAGGTCTCAATATGCATTCTGAATAACGGAAGTCACTTCGTTATACATGTATCAATCGTATATATGGACATGGAGCGCCACCAAATACTGACGTTAAACTCTCGAACTAAAAAACTTTTTTGGAGGTATGGGGTGGTCAAAGTGACCTCCGGAGAAATTTTCGGGAATGGCCTTCTGATGACATCTGCTGGCTACTGTGTTGAAATGAATGGGGATACGTTGTGACTTCCGTTTTCGGAAGTCACAACGTCATATATGAGGTGACAACGTATTACATGTGTAACGGTGTGGAGGTGACTTTATACCGTCTATCAATATATATATATATATATATATACCTCATATATATCTCCGGAAACGGTAAAAAAATATACAGAATAGCTACATGTACATATATGTATATTTGAAAAATAAGAACACGAGAATATAATCAAAAATAGTTGCAAAATATACAAGGTGTTCGATTCACCGACGTATATCTGGAAGGAGGCGGTTGATAATGTGATTTTGAACATATTCAAATATGCAGGATCATTCACCTAACAAATTATGAGATGTTTATAGAGAAGTGAAAGAGGTTTTTTCAATAGGACACCCCTGTACATTATTGCATTTTTAGATTCTCCCTAAAGAGCTGATTTCATCGATACATTACACGGGGGGGGACCTTGGGGTCTAGCGGACATGATTACAGATAAATAGGGTGTTCAAAATCGGGATTTTTCAACTTTGGTTTTTTTTGTCGAAACTATTTATTATTGGTCAAAACGACTCACATGTCGGCCCTATCCCAACTTTTGATTTACTATATCTACTGACATCAAATTGGAACAATACAGAGGGTGGTTCAAGATTCAGAATTCTGATCACCCTGTATTTGTTCCAATTATTAAATGTCAGTAGATAGTAAATCATAAGTTAACATAGGAACATGGAAGCCGTTTTGACCGATGGGTAATAGTTTCCACAGAAAAACATCCTACTTAAATTTGAAAAATCTCGATTTTTGAACACCCTATATCTCTGTAATCATTCCCGCTGGACCCCAAGTGTGATACATTGATGAAATCAGCTATTCAGGGATAATCTGAAAATGCAATGAAAAATAGGGTGTTCCTTTTAAGAAAATCGACTTGTACCCTACTATCGATCGTTTGTTCCGAGCACCCTGTATTTTCTGATATAGCGGAAAAAAACTCAATCAAATGATTTTTCAAATTTTGCGATCGGTTCAAAAATAACCGAGCTATAGGGGGGACATTATTGTGAATCACCCTGTACATGGAATATAATGTTAATTCATTTGATTTTGATACCTACCTATACCTATCTATAGAGATAGTCTGCTAGATCTTGTAAAAACTATCCGAACATATCTACCTAACGAATGAACGTGTTACAATAAGCACCTATATACCCGATTCACCCTGTATTCATATTTCTAATATTATTCCGTGTCCACTTACCTCATCCAAGATGTCACTAAAGGGAATTTTTTGGTCAATTTTAGCAGCTAAAGCTTGACGTTGCTTATTCTCGCTTGCGTTTTCACGTGAACAATGTTGCATGTACCAGTAATGATATCCATACAATTTGAATTTATTTTGTTGCTGCCCTGTATTTTAACTTGCCTCTTTCCAGTGCTCTTTGAGTGAAAATATCCAGAGCGATGACAATAAAAATATTGAATCTCCAATTTTGACGATCTTTTCGTTCCAGAATTCTTAACGAAACGAGTTTTATCATTCTGTTCTATCTCACTTTTCCATTCGATGATTTGTTCATTAGATGGAATTTCAAAATTTTCCTTAACCCAACGTTAAGTCATGCAAATTCTTCAAATGATTTTCGAATTGATCATTCATAATTTTTCCATTGCATAATGGGCAATCAGATGATTTCACCGCACTATTTGAAGGTAAATTGCAACATTTTTTTTATGGGCCGTGAAATTTTTCTCAACATTGAACTTCGAACTGCATCTATCACAAATAAACTTGTACACTTTCCCACTTATTTTTGATGGGGCTATCTAAGTTGGAGAAGACTTCAAACAATGCCTTCTGAGACTTTGAAAACAGCTGAACGTTTTTGTACATTCTGCACAACAGTTTGATAATTCCATTTTTATAGGTACTTAGTGTGAAACGCACGTTGACCAAACTATAACATGAATGAGTAGGTATTCTGAAAATAGTTGTATGTCAACCGACTATGACTATACACTCCTTCCCTTGATACATAATTCGACGCCAATTAAGGGTATTGGCATTTTACCTACCAATAATAATATTACATTACTGTTTCGCTCCTTCGCTCCAACGTTCGTCGGGCATGTCGATAGGTGAAGGGTGAAGGTGATGTTTGCCCGCGTCCGCGTCTCGCTTGACGCGGTTCTCCCACTACGTTGTTTATGTTAATCCTTCCTTGCGGCAGACGCTAGTTAAAAAATCAGCCATGCCATAAGGGCACTCGCGGCAATGTTGCCACATGCCGTAGTAAATCTGTAACCAGTATACAATTTGTTTAGCCATTAAATGAAAACCTAGAGTAGGCGACCTAGGTGCGAAGAGGTATGTATAGCAAATTCCACAGTAGACACAGTATCAGTATCTCTGTAGTGTCTGGACTCTGGTTACTTTGCACAAACTACCGTACGACATAAAACTGGAAAAAGAGATGACCTTATATAATAACTACAGACCGATTTCAGAGTTTTCCCGATCTTCTCGAAAAATATTGAAAAAATTATAAATAAGCGTATTCTTGATTTTCTTGAAAATAATGGGCTACGGTCTTCTATATACAGTGGTCGTCAGTGGTCAATATGGATTTCGCAGATCGAAAGACACTGAGATGTAGAAGAGTTATGTGGATGTTATTTCGAATATTCAGTTTAAAATTGATCAAAATTGTAAATGTATGATCTTTAGATTTATGTGAAGCTTTCGATACTGTAAATCATGATATTTTACTGAGTAAAATACATTCAATAGGTATACCATTGGAGAAATATTTGATTGGTTAAAAAAGTATCTGGGAAATATAGAAAGCAGTACGTATACGTTGATGTTGATATTTGTAGCTCCATAAGGGAGATAAAATGTGGTGTACCACAGGTCCCGTTTTAGGTCCAATTTTATTTTTAATTTACATATCAATTCATCAATATCATCTTCGCGGAACTGAAAGGAAATCTGATAAGTTATTTGCATCAATGATACTGCAATAAATCTATATTCCTCTAAAGAATTTAATGACATAATTGATGATATTAAAATTGACTTGAAAATTATATCATCATCTTTTGGCTACCGACTCATAAGCCGACTCTTAACTATATGACAAATCTACGCGTATATATGTTGATATTTCAAAAATAAAAACTGATATATCGATAACAACAATATTTTTCGCCAGAAAAGCCAGAAAATATATTCAGATTTATATTGATGATATATATATAGATCACCTAAGAAAAACGCTAAATCCAATTACAATAAAGAACAACAACAACATCGCTGATAAAATCATGTCATTAGAATATGGAAATATGAATTCCTATTTTTTACTACTATCAATAAAAAAAATGTGGTACGACCCTACAGAAGAAAATTTGTAGACGGCAACAGTGTTCAGAACTCCGAGTGACACGGACACGTGAACACGTCTGGTCTGACTCGTCTGACAGTTGTGTAGGCAGAAGCGGACTTAAGAAGTTCATCAACCTTGATAAACCGTTCAAAATGCAATAATATTTTATCTAATAGCAGAGATCTAAGTATTAGTCGATCAAATATTTAAAACCACATGATTGTCAACATCATCATTATACTAACCAGTATTTTAGCAACAGGAACTAACGGGCAAATGGACTCTAGGGGAAAACATACGGTTTTCGTGTATGGTACTCTTAAAAAAGAAGAACCGAACCACTCATGGTTTTCAAAAAACGCCGGAGGTTTCTACAAATATCTGGCTGATGCGAAAACCAAAGAAAAATATCCTCTCATCATAGCAACCAAATACAACATTCCATTCATTTTAGAGAGTCCAGGTCAGTACTAGACAAATTTGGGGCGCATACATTTAGCTTCTATTTTTTCCAGGGATCGGTACAAATGTTATAGGAGAATTATACGAGGTAGACGACAAAGTAATGGCAGATCTAGATATCCTTGAGGATCATCCGAATTTTTATAGAAGAAAATTGTATGACGTTCTTACATTGAATGGCCAAAATACAACATCTAAAGCTTGGATTTACATGATTGAAACGTTCAATCCAGACTTACTAAATGAAACATTCTTTGAAAACTACAGCAGTTTAGGGAACCACGGGAAAAAATACGTGGAAAGGTACTCTAGAGATAGTAGCTATGATTATAGACAAGAACTAGGTTCTGCATAGGATTTAAGAATTGATTGTATTTTCATAGTAGTGAGAATTCAACACTGGATGATTTGAATTTGGGATAAAAAGTTGGGTCAACCGTCTCTCAAGGAATTGTCTTTTGTTTTTATGTTCCCTGTTTCTGCATGAATTTATTAGTCACTGGAAATGTTAGTTATCTAACAATACCATTCAGTGACTCAAGAATTTATATCGTACACTACAGAGTTTTCTAACATTTGCTTTCTTGTGACGAGGATCAATAATCAATGAAATCTGTTTTATTAGTAGTTGGATAATCGATCTAAGGATTATAAACGTTGACCAGAATGAATAAATGATGTTATACAAAACACTCAAATCAGAGATTGTTGCTTATGCTCCAAAAACAAACATTTAACCTAAGTTCTGTCCATTTGTGCTTGCTCTACCTGTTGAACTAGATTTTTTTCTATGACCTGTTTACATCAGGCCATGAACAGAGACTATTATGGGGAAAAATCAACTTTAGCAACTTCAGCAATACAAAGGAAGCCTCTAACAACTATCTGCATTACACCTCTTATTACTGTTTTGCCGGTAAATTATATGAAGAACACAGTGTGAGTGTACACCATATAACACCGAACTGTATCAGTTCTACACGATCTACTCTGGTGTACAATATTATAGTCATTGGAGGCACAACAAACAGACCTCTCATTTTTAAGGGTGACTTTATAGCTTCAAAGTATGTAGAAATCATATATCATTCATTTATGAATGCTGATGCTGCAGTCTCATTATGTTCAGAAAAGACAATTCACAATAGAAAATAAGCGTACGCCACCTATCGGAGTTCTTGAAAGATGTCAAAGCGGGTTTTCATTGGTTCACATTTGTTTTGTGTTTGTTCTTATTGGTCATATCAAACAAACCGCTCGGAAGTGTTCAAGTTGCTGCCGTGAGGAGGAGCGACGTGTTGTTTTCTATTGCGAATATGATCAAATTGATTTAAGATTGTTTATTAATTTTGTGGATTGTTGAAGAAAAATAAGGGTTATTTCAAATCTTGGAAAACCTAAAACTGAAATAATAAAGTCGATCATTTATAGTGTCTTTTTTCTGAAGAATATTCAGTATTTCTAGAAATGTGGTATACCCAGATACTGGATATAAAAATATGTTTTTTTCACATGAAGAGAGAAAAGTCTGGAGAAGGAAATAATATATAATTTCATTTGTAAAAAACGTAATGTTTAAAAATCAATAGATGAAAACACATCACTGATTTCAAAGACTATGGGAGACAATGGTAAATTCCATTCCAACAGAAAATTTCAAAAATGATCAACAAATCTATGCACAAATTTTCAAATATTCATCACAAACTCAATTTACTCCATCAAGAATCAATGATGATACAAACAAATAAAGTTCCTGATTTCCCACAGATTAGAATCTAAAAAAATCCTATTGACAGAGTAAATCAAGCTAGACTGGATTCTTGAATGGCCACCCTTGAATACAAACATGTCCCTAGATTGCATTTAAATCACTAGCTATCATTACTGAGAGTATTATAACGGTTGCCAAGGCTCAGTTTGGGGCCTTGGGCAGAGTTCAGCTTGGATTGCTCTGCCTGTCTGTACGAAGTTGACCGATTTTGTTGCACCACTTCAAAAGCACCTTCACTACGGTTTCTAGAAAAAAATCAGTCAATAAAATTGTATCCCTTCAGAAACATGAAAACAAAAATTATGATAATAATAATTCAAAGTTTATTTTCATCCTAGTTTCTTAATGATGCATGTTTCCATCACAATCTATTTTCAATATCTAGGTAATCTAATCTTTATTGTAGATTCCAAGAAACACAATATATGTTTATGATAGGGAGGCATAACAATCAAAATGTACATTGAAAAGAATGGGACAAAAAAATAACCAGCTAAGTAATACCTAGACATTGAAATGATAAAGAAACATAATCTGAATATATGATAATAGTCAAATTTCATTTCAGTAGCTGATGTGATGAAGGTACTTGATTTCATTTATTTTAGGTCAATAATAAATATTTTTTCAAATTGTTTTTGATTCTGCTTTTTCATGTTCTTTATTCTGGTGGGGAGAGAATTATAAAACTTGATGAAATTATGTTAGATGGACTGTTGAATCATCCTAGACTGAAACCTACTTGTAATGGGCGTGTACACCTTAGTAGAAATTTCAACTCAAACCATGTTTGATCCTTGATCCTTTTATACATAAATAATTATTGACGACATAGATGGAAAAATCAACTGGAATGTTTTATTTTTGGACATAAATAATAGTACCTTCTGAAAACGGACCCTCTTATACCCTCTTATGACATAGAAACCTCATCTCGCCATAGTTAAAAGAAAATACCAAACGCCTGATGGAGACTACTGAGGCAACTGATATATTAATTCTTTCAACTGTGATCTAGCGCTAATTCACTCTGTCAGAAATCATATACATTTCATCTCTGTCTGGAATAATCGTATTAGGGTTTTGACGTCACATCATCGCCTTGTTTTCAGAGGTCCGAAAAATCGGGGATTTCAATAATTTTTTATAAAACGTAGGGAGCTCATAGCAAGAAACGGTTTGCAGTGGTGAGCTAGTTTGGGTAAGTTCTATCGCATTATGAAATACAATTTTTTTGTGATATAAGCCCATTGAGCTATGTAATGGCCTAGTATTGTGATTATGAAGTCACTGAGTTTCTTGTATTTCTATATTAGAAATATTCATTTTATTCCTGATAAAATGGATGAAACAACAAATTTTCAATGTATATAGGGACTTCAAATCAACTAAAATATTTGTTTTGTTTCAATTTAGTGTGTTCTAAATATGGCTTTTGATAAATATGTTTCACAGTATTATTTTGAAAAGTTATTAATGGTTTCAATATTGATTTTCTTGCACTTCCCTAAATGGATATTGAATATTGTAATTTCAAATAATGATGCAAAAATATATGTTATTCAAATGTTTTTCATCAATATATTTTCTTATTATGAATGAAATTCCAGTTATTGGGTTCAGTTTTTTCTGAGGATTTCAATGTGTTTTCTACAATAAGATAAATTCTCATCAATAAAGAGTCCTAAAAATGTTGTAGTTGTGTAATCTTTGTCATTATTTTTGTAACTAATTGATTATTTTGTGGGTATGTGTCTCATTGTCTTTGTGATATCTGGTGATATCCATGAGATGATTTTTTGAAATTCAATATCAGTTTATGAGTCTGCAGCCAAGATGATAACATTTCCAGATGTGATTTTAAATACTTTTAAGCATTAAAAAAAATAGAGTAGTATCCTCTGAGAATAATTTCAGTTTATCTTTCAGTTTGAATTTTGAAACTGAATTTATGTAAAGTAAAAATAATATTGAATCCAAGATTGATCCTGTGTGAAATAGCACATTCAATATCTATCATAGAACTTTGAATTCCATTATAATCAACAAATAATTTTTTAACCACTGGTGGAAATTTGGGAGTTGTTTTTTTGTCTCTCTTATGGTTTTTTCAACTAATTAATTATAATTATCATATTAAACTTTATAAAACATATTTCCTGATATTTTTTTAAAGTTAATCTTGAGTTTCAATTGGAGTATATATATTTTCATTGAACAATGATTTTGATCATTTTGTTGTTTAATGAATTTTGAATAAGAACAGTTTTCTGAAAATATTTAGTAAGTCTTCATACTCATAATTAGGATTTTCAAATCCACCAAGAGTATAACTGTGATTTTGCAATCTATTCCAAAGTTTATGGATGTCAAATAATTTAATTTTGTTAATGAAAACCTTTTTTTTATTGAATTCTGCATATGAATATGAGAGAGGCTCAGTCATTATACTAACTATTAATTTATTCTATTTCCAAAAGAAAATATTGTGTGATAAGACAAAGATCTTACCTTTTGTAGTCTCCAGTTTTGGATAATCCAGGGAAAGATTCCTCATTGTGTATATCAGGAGCAACTTTCGACCTATGCCTCAAAGGAGCAACCTGCTGTCCACCCCCACCTCCTGGGGTACTCCTCAGACGAGGGGCCACATAACTAGATTTACTCTCACTAGGTGCTGGTGTTGGTTCAGGTCTCTTCTCTTTGACCACTACCACCTCTTCTTGCACCTCATTGGGGTCAATTCGCTTCCAGGGACCTGATTTTTTTTCCATTTCCTGTCCCATCTCATCTTCTTTGGAATCCTCAGAGTTTGGTTCCTTGGCACTCTGGTTACCATCTGAGTTGGCTGTGATGGCTAGGTTACCGATTTTCAGGCCGGTGTAATCTTTTTTCTCTTCCTCAAAGTCCTTCCACTCATCTTGTTCCTGAAATGATACATCAATATGGCTACTCTTTGATCTTAATGATGGTCTTGTGATCAGTCATTCTGTGTTTTGTTTCTTGGTTACTTACGTGGATTGGCGCAGAGGAATCGACTTCTCCTTCAGGAACACGTTCCTTTTTTTGTTTTTCAGTCTTTCTCGCGGTATCTTCTAGTTTTTTCGCTACCTCTTCGGTGGTAGCGAATTTTTTTGTGGTTTTCGACTTTTTACGGTCTTTTTTGGCGAAGAAATCATCTAAATCTGCCATTTTCTGGAATATTAAGAAATGTTGAGCATACAATGGAATAATTTGACGAGAACTTATGAAAATCACACCTTTCAATATGCACAACCAGACCAGAAAGAAATGTCAGAATGTCACCTATTGGCAGAGGTACCTGTTTTATCGACCGACATGACAAATGACAGGATGTCAGATCAGGTAGTGACTTTTCTAACCAATTTCCTAATTTTGAATTTCGCAAACGATTGAAGGTTTTTTAACGGCCAAATCAGATAAATCACAGCCGTCTTCAACTAAAGTTGAAGACGGCTGTGGATAAATCCTTTACAGCATAGCAACTACAGGAGACCATAAACAAACTAGAGTGTTGTTTAGGTATCTATGCAGGAGACTAATCTCATTCTTTCTATTTTTTTGATTAGGCAACCATACATACATCAGAATTTGCCACACTTTTTTCCACCCCCACCCATCAAGCATTTGAATTTGAATTTAAAATCATATTGAAGTGCTAAAAATGGGAATGGTTTCACAAATTATTATCAATTGGAATTGATTAGAATCTTGGAAAATAGGATAAAGATAAGATAAACTGATAAGAATATCTAGAGTTTTTACAATCAATATAATATTAATGTGACCCTATAATATATATACAGTTCTGATTATAGGTATGAAACTAACATTTGTTAGGGAACAAAAATGATTTTACTTGTTATATTTTTCACCATTTCAACATCAGTATTTGGGGACGAAAGTATATTATGCTCCCCCAGTGTTTGTGATGTGGGTATATGGAAATGTTTCATTTTCTGAATTTTCATAATCAAATAATTCAATATCATTATGTTTTTAGGGAGTGAAGTGCCCAACGCTTCCAGAAAAATGTAATATTCAAAATGCCACTCACAGTGGAACATTCCTTCCATCCCCAGAAGCTTGCAATTGCTGTCAATACTGTTTGGAAAATTTGAGTAAGCAATTCATGTTTTTCGATTTTCTGTTGGGGTATTGCTTTTATTACGACCTTGTGTGGATAATGACTCTATATAGATCCTTCAAATGAGACTCTGTCTGTTTTTTTGTAGTTATACTGCATTTCATTTCTATGACTTGAAACACACACCTTTTTTGTTTTTGTAGATGAAGGAGATGAATGTAGCATTGGATATCCCTCTGCACCCACTCCAACATCAATTTGTGGCCCAGGATTAGCTTGCAAGCTTACAAATGGGAACTTATATGATGGTATTTGCTCTAGAAGTGAGTTGGTGATATCATTTATTGTGCATTAAATAGGGCTTCAAATGGCAACTTAATTTCAGTGAATACACCTTGCACACAGCTTCAGGATGATTATGATGAGAGGAGAAAAAACGGTCCGAATCTGGGTTCAATGGAAGTTCGTCAAACATGCACTGATGAGGGAGAATTTGCCTCATATAAGTGTATACCAGGTCAAACGTAAGTAGGTACATGCATTGCTATTTGCTATATCTTCCTGTTGAGGACAAGAATGGAAATGATGAATACTGTTTGCAATTGCATTCAGATCAAAGATCAACGGAAGCCCCAATAAAAGCTCCATCATTTATTTTGGCATATCATGTGTATGTTTTAATTTGGAAAATTTTGATTTAGTAGCTGGATGATGAAATTCTATTATTATTCATCTATCAATCAACATCACCAAATTAAATTTTCCCATAGAATACGTCTATGAATTTTCAAAAGTTAAAAAAAAAAATAAAATAAAAAATAAATAATAATAAACAACTAACATCCAAATGTCACCCACAGTGTCAGCTGTCAAGAGTATTGAGTCAATCAAGTGTCAACAATCAATAATGTCAAATTTGTTGAAAGTACGATTATGGAAGTGGCTAACATATCGACAGGCCGGTATTGGTATACCTGTCTTGTAACTGTAGAGTTGTAGACGAATTCAGTAGTTGGTATTCAGGAATTAGGATCCCCTTAATTTCCCTCAGTAAATCACTGGTTTTTATGCATATTTTTTTTCTCAGATGTTATTGCGTTGATATTGACGGTACAAGAATCTTCGGGGAATCAGATTTCACATCCCTTCCTGAAATGCAAATGCAATGCAGTAAGTATAGCAGTTCAAAACTGCTTCAATGCAACAAACATTTTGTTATTCTGATCATGTTTCAGAGTGCTCTAGGGACTACCAGCAAGCCAAACAATTATTCGGCAGAGAGCTGAATCCCAGCGAACATTTCAGGTGCTCCTCGAAAGGGGACTATGACACTATTCAGTGCATGAGAGAACAGTGTTTGTGCACTGACGCCACTGATGGGGCTCCAACTTACCCGAACGACCCTATGGTCAATATTCGGAACATTTCTAACCAGACATTAGGATGTTGTGAGTTTTTCTCTAAATGCAGAAATTATTATGGTCACAGGGTATTGCATTTATCTGAGGCAATTATGATGTAGTCATGCTAACGCCATCTAGTGGATGAACAGAGGAGGAGCAAGACACTACCGTACGGTATAGTCTCGCTTCTGTTGACAACTGGGTCAACTCTGTACACCCTAAACATAAATCAACAACTAATCTATGCCCTAGATCTCTTTAAGTCATCAGATCTAGATCAATGGATAGGATCGATGGTTTTCCCACTCATGTAGAGCCAGGTTAGTGCCATCGGTCAGCAGAGTGTTTTACTTGTAATAGCACTTTCTAATATGGAGTCGTAAGGGTCTACACATGTTGACTATAGATTTTTTTCAATGTTCTGGTTCTCACGAAGAGGGATATCCTGTAATGTTCAGAGAACATCGTGAGAACCAGGTGGGAATTGGCGTTCTTCTTAAATTTCTGGAGGTTACATGCCTCGGGGAACACCTCCCTTTTAGCGATGTGTTCCAGAGCCTCGCTGTTCGTTGGATGAACGAGTCTTTGGAAAGAGAAGTTCTGCAGGTCTTCAAGATGACCACGAAGGGGTGCGAAGCCACAACTCGACGGGTAAGTCTCGCGGGGACTGCCAAGGAAGGAACAATTGTTGATATTTCAGAGGAGTATCTTCCATGAAAATATCTATTGAATAGAGCCAGATCGCCAACTTTTCTGCGATGGCAGCGTCATGCTGTGTATGACGTACCCAGAGATAAGTTACCCACTAAGATGTACTTTTCTTATGGGCGATTTGGCCACAACTGATTTTGGGTCAGTGATATACAGACAGATGGCATTGGTGGTCAGAATATGCAAGGTTGGTAGAATTGATGATTATTTGTACGAATAATCATCAATTCTACCAACCTTGAGTATATGCGAGAAATTAGCTTATGCGGTAGCTGATTTCTCAAGGACGGTTGGTTGGAGCCAGAAATAAAGATAACCTCTGCTTGTAGAAATAGTTTTTTTGAAAATAATATCAATGTTCCATCAAATTTCATATAGATCTCTGATATAGAGAAGTTAGGAAAACGAACGTTTTCATGTGAACATGAACTGTGAATGGTTTTTGTTCATAAATTAGTATTTTTTATTTACCTATAGGTACCTATTTAAACGAAAAAAAAAATAATAATAATGAAATGTTCTTGTTTTCATTGTGATAATATAGGTTTGTCCCTTATGATGAAATTTCGATGCAATCTAATTACAAGACAAAAAAGTTTATACCTCATAACAAAACAAATCATTTGGTATTTAAAAATCTATACCAGTATGGCGCAGGGAAAAGGGCATTTTGACCCCTGAGGAAATATGTCCTTCTAGATTCTTAAAATCACTCAGCATACTGTAATATGAAGATCCCTAACACGTAATGTTTCATTGAATATCCCGAAATCTAGAAGAGCTTTGGAGGAAAAAAATCTTGAAATTTTAACGATCTGTTGATCGGTACCTACCTATCAAAGCGTTTTATCAGAGATAAGTGGGTAACTTATCTCTGGTTTTATCAGGTTTTATGTTGATCTGAAAAATAACCCCTGAAATATTGATACTGAATTTCGAAAAATTCTGTATATATATTGGGGTTATTTAAAAATAACATATTTTTGAATAATAGGTACCTACCCACATGATATTTGAATGTATTCAAATCAATGGATTCAATTCCATGTGTAAAATAGGTATATGATAATTTTCAAGAAACTTGAACTTATGCAGTTAATTTACTAATTTAACCAAAATTACTATCAATATAATTCATCTCTTTGAAAGCACGAGAGGAAATCCCTATTTTGTTCGTGAAAGAACTTTTTCATCTTAAGACTTACCTAGGTTCATGTCACAGAACTTATTTATTCTGAAATCTAATTTTGTCATGTGAGAATCTTCATGTTTTGTAATTATGGGAGGGGAAAATGAGGGAAATATACAGGATGTTTCAAAACTAAGGTACAATTTTTAAAGGAATGAATCTTGAGTTTATTTTAAAGAAAAATCTTAATATGAACGATTGTCCTAAATCTCTTGAATTTTGAGATACATGGTGGTAGATTGGATGAAAAATAATTATAGTTTTATTTAATAGGGAAAATGAAGTAGGAAGTGATAACATTTGGACAATCAGATTTTCAGTGGCATTTTTAAGGGGATATTATTGTTAGTAATTTGCCATTGAATTTTGTTTTGAAAAGGACCTGTTGTTGAAACTCGATAGGGCCAAACAACCAGGCTCCAAATTTTGATTTGAATGCTGAGCAGCTCATCCAGGACATCCATTCAGATTACTGGATAACCATAATATAACTAAATCTTGCCATTAGGAAATGCCATACATGGTGGTCAAAAGAAGAATCTATGCATATTTTCAGCTTTGACACCCTGAATCTCAAAATTTGAGACCCTCAGCAAGAACGTTCATATCAAGTTTTTTTCTTGAAATTAACTTATGAATCACTCCATTGAATATTTTATTTTACCTTACATTTGTAGCACCCTGTATGAAAAAATAATCAGTATGTTTTTTTCATCCTTTTTTTTTTCATAAAGGCACATTACCTATTTACATAATTGAAATAAATAATAAATATTCTGTGAATTGAGGAATGATGAAATGAAAATTTAGGTAATAGGGATGAAAGTAACAGGACACTTTGATAACACTAAATAATTAACTATAATATTCATGAAAATACTCTAGGAAAAAGTAGGAAGCAAGTATATATATATATATATTTATTATTAAATTATACATGTTTCAATATATCCAATTTTTGCCCTTGTTTTCCTCCTTTTTCTTGAGATTGGTTCGAGGAACTGGTTTTACAAGTTTTAAAAATTTTTGTAATCACCATTAATCGTAATAAATACATCTTATGATCATAGCAGTCATCATCTGTTAAAAAATCATACTGCCTGATATTTTTTCGGATTGAGCTCATTATCTTTTGGCATACTTTTTTCTTACAGCAAATATTTTCATATTTGTTTTCAAATGTGTTAAGTGCACATTGAATTACTTCATACAATTCATCAGATGGCGATTTTAAACCTACCATTTCTGAATATTTTATTATATGCTCATACATTCTATGAAATATTAAAATATCATTATTGTCAGTTAAAAAAATATTATCTGAAAGTAATAACTGTTTGCATGTTTCACAACTAAATTTTTTTATTGTTTTATGTGCCAAATAGCCAGCAAAGTATTTTGTTGCACAATTTTCAAGTGTTTCTTGTTGATCACATTGTTCATCATGATCTGGAGAGTTGGCTTCTGATACTGGATTTGATGATGAGCTCCCAGTACTTCCATCGTCTTCATCAACAAAAATTGGACCAACCCCAGAATCTTCCACAGAAGATCCATCCTCCAACATTGGCAATATATCTTCTTCACAAATGTCTTCATAATTAGATGATGCTTGCCTCATTAAATTATGTATGACATTTGATCTGAAGAGGGTCCGGAAAACTCTTGCAGTAGGGTTCACATTTGAACCTCCTTTCTGCCTATAAATTGCAAATAAATTCTCCAAAACATCTTGACTTAGCTTGGATGTCAAGATGTATGAATCTCTATTTGCATCTACTTCTTGGGAATATATACAAAGTATCCCCTTGATGGTTTGTATCAGTCCATCAAAACATGGAGGTCTGGAAATACTTCCTTTATTGTTCACTTTGTACAATTCTTCAATGTAAGGAATAGCATCTTCTAGTGTTTTCTGAACTAGTGGGTGTTTCACATGAAGAGAGCAATTGTATGGTTTGTTTCCACTAAAAGATTTGCTGTTGAGACAGTCAAATATTTTATCCATGCGATCTGTAAACAGAATAGTATGTTTCACTATATAGGTTACCTAGTAGCATATATATTCATTCTTAATAGCAATAGATGAGTTACATGGAAAGTATACCTAAAATATTTATTTGTTTTACCAGGCAGAATAGCACAAAATTTAATGCCGCGGTTGGTATTTCAATGCCGAGGCATAGCCGAGGCTACAAAAACCAGCCAAGGCATTGAGTCTTCTTTTCTGCCATGTCATTGTGAAACATAATTTTTTCTCCAAATGTTATGACACCAATTTTATGTAGCATTTTAATTGAAAACTCCCATCATTTTGTGTTCCAATGTCAAGTTTTAGAAATAGAATACCTAGCATTTAGTAGCAGTTAATTTCTTCTTCAACGTTTGACCTATCCTAAAGTGCAGAAAATAGTATATACACCTCAGCACAAAATATTGTTTTTGAATCCCTTGACAAATTATACCCCTCCCTCTGGAGCTTTAAACTTTTTGTGTCAGGATTTAAAATACCACTTCAGTCCCTAGATGTATAATGTACTATTAATGCCTGTTAAGGGTCATTAAAATTCAGAATGCCACCCTTAATGTAATTTGGAGAAAAATAAATATTTTTCATGATGAATTTAATAGAGATATTGAGTGAAAACCTTGGTGAAAACTGATATTTTTGTTAAATTTCAACATTCTGTATCTCAGGAATAAAATGGTGGCAGACCCATATGTATATGAAAGATTCTTCTAAAAATCATCAAATTATTATACATATAAGCATTCAATTATTTTGTGACAATTCCTTAAGAATAAAATTTTATATTGTGTGAAAGAGTTCTGGCCAGAAATGAAATATTATTTTTGCCACTGATAAAAAGCAAAATCCTACTTTGAATCAAAATTCAATCTTTGAGTTTACATTGAAGAAGATTCAGATTGTTGATTAAAAATTATTATAGCTGGTAATGGTTATTTCATCCAAAATCAACACCCATGAAAACACAAAAAAATGAAAAACTCACCTAAGAAATCAGCTGTAGATTCTGCAGATGTTGTCTGCAACTGTTTTGTTTCTATACAAGTTCTGATGGCACTAGATACACTATGGCTTAGAACTTGGACAGCAAGTTTAACATTCATTTTTTGGAAGTTCGTAGGGTAAATGTGTTTGTCTGTCAACTTGACCAAGGCTCTGCATTTTTTATTTCTGTCCAGGTCATAGACTTTCTTGATGTCATCAAATGATATTAATTTATTGTTATGAAGAAAGTTCCCATTCAAAAGGTTATTCCTATAATTTTTTATCAGATGTAGAGAGTCATATAATGCTATAATTCTTTTTTCTCCATGGTCTGTTTGGATATCAAAGTGAGGCTTGTCTTTTGATACTCCAAGAAGTTTATAGCATTTTTGATTTGATGTTCCTTGATCACATACCACAGCTTTTGGATCTAAACCACTTGAAAAGCATTTTTTTATCAATGTAGATAATAATTCTCTGATATTTTCACCAGGCATCCCTGAATGTGTGAAAAAATATGCCAGAGGCAGTTTCCAAGAGCTTAACATGCCCCTTGCCATGAAAACTAAAACATACTTAGCCTTTCTGTTTGTCCGTCCCAGGCTCCCCATATCTTCATACCCTTCAATGAAGTCCATAGCTGGAGAGTATTCTAAATATTGCTTTATGCACATTTCATCAAAAGATATAACACATTTTTTTTCATCATTTGTCATACTCTCAGATTTTAAATTTATCTGGCTGAAAAATTTTGCATTGAATCCAGTTGCAAATTTGGACTGTCCTATCCATGCCCTCACAATACTAATACTAGGAAGAACAATTTTCTGCCTCAAATATTTATAGGCACTTGGTGACTTATAATAAAGTAAGATGGCAAATTTCTTTTCATCAGCATGCCACTTTCGTTTTTTCTGTTTTAACTGCATTTTAACTATGGTTCTAGACCAGTGCATTAAAAACTGATGATTTTCTAACTGTAGATTCAAAGGAAGGAGCAGTTTTATCCTAGATACAGTTTTTTTCAGTTTATAGATATGAGAACGCTGATTAGAAATGATATGGGATTTCTGTTTCAACTTCTCATTCAACATAGCTATTTGTTCAGCTTGTTTTTGAATAATTCCTTCCTTGGATTTCTTGGCTTTTTTTGATGGTGATGGTAATGAAGGCATATCAATCAGATTTTCAATCCAGCTGCCAGATGAAGATGATGAACTGAGATTTTCAACTGATTCTAATATTTTCCTCTTTGATGCTCTCTTTTCATTTATTCCATATGTTTTTGATGGAAGACTACTGATGAGGTCTGAGGATTCTTGGCTGCAGATTTTATAGCTCTTGGGAACAACAGATGACTTTAGTCGTTTCTTGTCCACAAGATTAATATAATCTTCATCACAAAAATGGTGCTCGCATACCACACGTTTCTGAAGATCAGAAAAGTCCAGATCATCCAAAAGGATATTTCCTGAAAGAACAGATTTTAAATAAAAAACGAGGACCTGTAAGAACAATAGGATTTGACAATTGCAAATTTAGAATTTATTTATAGAGGTTCGCCACTTATGGACACATAATCAGTGGTATTTGCTGAAATTTGATGTCTAAACTTCACTCATACTCTAAAAACAGTTGAAATTGCAAGAACCTTAAATGACAGTTTCCTCACCTGAGCTGATAATCCATTTCTTGGCTCTTACTGGATCCTTGGGAAAATAAAACATTTTCAAATTCGTCACTTTTCTACGTGTCCTATCACAGTTTATAAACGCACACACATTTCCAGACATTATAAAACTGATAACTACCTACTGCACACTATTGTACACAGAATTTAATATTTGGAATGGGTACTTTAGGTTCACGAATGAAATTGGAAGACAGTATAGGAATTATTCACAAAAATCACACGAGAAAAAAGCCAAAGCCGACGTATCGAATACACAGACAAGACAAAATAATCTACGAACAGTAAACAGTACTAACAATTGAACATAACCTCAAACAAAGCAAGCGTAGCTGTAAAAACTCGCAGCTGGCTTTTCAACCACTTCCAACTTCAGTTGAGAAAAGTCAACCAATCAGAGTCAAGGAGTTATCGAGACTAGCGACATCTCGAATTCAAATCCTAAACCTCGAAATATTTATGGCCATTTTCAGTACAGGAAAAGTATATCTTAGTGGGTAACTTATCTCTGACGTACCGAAAGGTCCAACCTTAGAACTAACGCCACTAGATGGCAATAGCATTACTAAATCATCATGCAATACCCTGCGCGTCTTCAAAATGGGTGATATCATAAACAAACTACACTCTATGGGTGATATACCTGAAGCCTTTGAATATTCACACTAGTAGTGTAGAATTGTTCCAGTTGTCAGCAAACCGAGAGCGGCTGATGTGGCCTGGCGGGCCGAAACGGTGCTGTTTCGCTGCTGTGACAATTGGGGCACCCATGAGATAATTGGTCTATGGGGGCAACTCTGTTCATCCTGGATCACTTATTAGTTATGAGATCTAGATCAATGAATAAATATTATGGTTACTCATCTTTCTTTTGGTTCCTATTTCTAGATAAGGGAGACACGGTAGGCATTTATCTCAAGAAATGTGAGGAGGAATATATTACCATTCTTAACGAAACAGAAACACAGAAGATGAAAAACAACTACAATATGATATTGGGCTACACATTCCCAAGTTGTGACATTGATGGGACATACAAGGCAGTTCAGGAAAATTCGACTCAGTAAGCACATCCATATAATATCTAAATACACACGCACATCATACAATGATGTAGTGTTAAAGATATGTTTATGATAATGAAATGTCTCCACTTTTCAGCAAATATTGTATGGACAAAGAGGGAAACATTTTGACAGCTTTGAGCAAAGTAGATAACAAAACCCTGGCAGATTCAATGGACTGTAGTGAGTTATCCAGTCTTTTGGTCTTTGTTTCAATATCACTGAAATTTCATACATTTTTAGAATGTTTGAGGGCTCTAAGTGTTATGACTACCAATGAGAAACCATCTTGTTTGGAAAATGGAAATTACACTCCTATGCAGTGTAGAAGAGGGAGTTGTAGATGTGTAGACGGAAATGGAAATCAAGTATGCAAAGCAACACCCTGTGAAGTGAATGAAATTGATAAAGACACATTGAAATGTTGAGATAATCTTTGAGCTATTGTAAAATCTTAGTTATTTCCTATAAATAATAAATTATTCCTTATATCATGTTCAATAAAAATAATATGGATCTCCTTTAGACCTAAGCTTTAGACCCAAGGATAATATACCTAATCTAATAATATAATCCTTGCTTTAGAGCCAGCCACATAGCTGACGATTTGTGGACCGCCGGTCGGTCGCCTAGACAGATTCTTTTTTGAAGAATCGAAATCTTGCGCATTCGCGTTTTGCTTCTGCTAATTTTCCACTTTACCTTTACCACCACTTCCCAAACAAATTCCCGATAATTTTGGATTCTCGTATCTCCGGGGGATCCGGCCGGAATCGGGAACGGGAGTCGGGATCGAGAATATGATTAGTTGCGATTCGATGGAGCATTTGTGAGGGTGTCCTGTAATAACGAACGACGAACGAACATAAAATAATTTAAAGTATGTCGGATCGACAACGAAAGGCTAGCAGCCTAACGGGGGGCTACATTTCGGCAAAGATGGCCAACGATTTGAGCCCTAGGAAAACTATGGTGGTCTTGGTGATAGTTGTCGGGTGTTTCGCGGTGTTGTGGCCCAAGGTTTTCTATCCCATGCTTTTGGGATCTGCGAATAGGCATATCAAACCCAGTCCCATGGACAGGACGAAAGGTAGGTTATTAAAAGACTCGTAGAGAGGGCGTGGGGCATAATAATGTGTAGCTTTTTAGCAAAGTTCATATCAATGAAAAAAGTGAAAAAATTATACCTTGGAAATAATAGGTACTTTGACAAAATACGAGATAAAATAATAAGTAACAATAGGCGAATAGACAAATTTTTTGTTATTTCTTAAGTGCTTAAATAGGATCATCACTCAAATATATTTCAATGTCATATTTTTTTTAGAATTTTTCGGTCGATTTGCTAAAATCATCAATAATGCCATGGTAATTTTCAAACGGCTAGACATTTACCGGGAGTATAAACTGACGTTACGATTTCCTAAAACCATAGCACAGTTGCCATAATAATATATTGAAATACGATTGGGACCTTCAGACATATTAGTTATCCAATAATTCATAAATTCTCAATTATGTATTGGTGATATTCCCTCGGATATTCCTAATTAGCAATAAAAAACAATTGTCTCAAAATGTTCCCTCATGTGTTGTGGCTTATTGCTTATAATAAATACATTTGTGTAAATATTAATTTAGTATATTAATTCACACTAGAGGACATTTGAACCGGTAAACGTGACAACACAGCGCACGAATTGTGGGAGGTGTCTCGTCAGTTATCTGCATTCAGCGCAATGTTGCCATGTCTCCAACACTTACATGATATTTTGATATAGAGTATAATGAATATTTGCACATGCTGATTGCTCGAAAAAGTCAAGAATGAAAGATAATATCATTGGTTCCTCCTACTATGTTTTATTCAACGACATGACTCTAAAGACTTTTTGATAACTGGATTATAATTGGTGACTTGGCAACCTTGCATCATGAGTGGGAATCTTGGTGGGAATGGAAGATTATCTGACCAATAACGAAACAGCATAAAAACTGACGTCACCATTTATTCGACGTTTCGCCAAATGGCGGCCATGACGTTACGTTTGAAATGAGCTCTGAAATTTAACGATTTTGAACAACACATAGACTTATTATTTACATGAAAAAGCGTGAGACGTGTTGCATAAATTAATTAAGGTTTCTATCGACACAGTGAAGTAATTCATTATTAGTCCATTCGCCAATTCCGAATCTTGAGCTCTTAAGTGAATTATCCTGAACGATTATAGAGTTCTTGTGAGTACAGGATTTCCAATGATGAGATATCTGCCATATGTTATTCATTATAACTTACATCTATGAGAGAAAACATGGGTCTATCCTGCAAAGAGCACAGTTACATTGAAACAACGACTGTTGCTTTCCTGAAGTGTACAAATAATTCGGAAAAAACTGGTTTAAAATCACTGTTTATACTTGACTATTGAAGACGTATAACGCCAAAGTTAATACTCTCCCCTCGTAAGGGTCCCTGACGTGATTCCATACACTCACAATGTCGACTGAAGAATGAGAATACGATCTGTATTTGAATTTATTGTTCATGAAAACTTATCTTGGACATCTCCATATTCCATTAATCTGCCTGACAGATGTTGAGATCCTAAGTGAATTTTCCTAAACGATTATAGAGTTCTTGTGAGTACAGGATCTCGAATGAAGAAATATCTGCCATAGTTTACATTGCTTCTGGAATGTCCTGAAATAAAAACTTGGATTAATATTATGCTTCTCTGATTGCGCAATATATTATTCTTTTTAATCCACATCTATGAAAGAAAACTCTATCTATCCTTCAAAGAGCACTGCTTCATTGAAACGACTGTTGCTTTCCTATAAAGCACAAATAATTTGGAAAAATCTGGTATAAAACCACTGTTTATACCTAACTCTTGAAGGCGACACCCTCCTTTGTAGAGAGGCATTACGATCGTCAAAGTTGATACACTCCCCTCGTGAGGGTACCTGACGTGATTCCATACACTCACAATGTCGACTAATTTTTCGACTGTTTGATTGAATGATCGATAATAGTCGTTTTTCATGAAGAAATGTTCGAAGAAGAATGAAAATACGATCTGTATTTGAATGTATTGTTCATGAAAACTTATCTTGGACATCTCCATATTCCATTAATTTGCCTGACAGTTGTTGAACTTCTAAGTGAATTGTCCTGAACGATTATAGAGTTCTTGTGAGTACAGGATCTCAAATGATGAAATATCTGCCATAGTTTTCATTGCTTCTGGAATATCCTGAAAAAAAAACTTGGATTAATATTATGCTTCTCTGATTGCGCAATATATTATTCATTATAATCCACGTCTATGAAAGAAAACTCTATCTATCCTTCAAAGAGCACTGCTTCAATTGAGACGATCATCTCAACATAAACATTGCGAACTTTTGGTCAACTTTCTAATTTCTGATGGAATTTAGTTATTTTTGTCTCAATATATCTCTCTGAATTATCATTGGAAATTTCACAAATCACATTTTCGCCCAATTAAAAATGTCGTATCGTTACCATATTAACTAAACAAATTTCCAGAAATGTTTTCCTCCTTGGTGGAAGAAGCATGAAATTACACTGAAAGATTCCTCAGGAATGTATAATTGGACTAAAATTGAATTCATTCCGAGATTCATTCAACACTTCACAAAAGCACTGTATAATACGTACTTATTCGCTCTTATTAGAAGACTAAAACTCTCATTATGGATTGCTAAATTCATTTTTGTTCCTTGGAGTAAGAAATCGATATTTTCTAGCAAAGTGCCTATCACGTGTTAGGAAAGATTAAAAAACATATGAATTTTCAAAACACTTCACAAAACGATGTATTTGAAAGACACAGTATACTATCACTGTTTTTCAAAAACACAGTTGTAGGATTAAAACAGTTCTTTTTCTGCCGCTATATAACACAAATTTGCTATTATTTCACAAAATCTCATCTCCCATGAAATGTCACATTTCAAGGAATGACAGATCTGTCTAATAGATGAGCATTACTTGAGAGAACATCAGATGGCTACAAGACGAAGAAATAAAAAATGTCGCTGTTATCTGTCACAGCCGTAGAAAAAGTATAGTGTATAACTCGCACAAACTGCTAATTTTTAATTAAAATCATTCCGTGTTCGTTAAACAATACAGAGTGATTCACGATGAGCGTTAATTAGACGGTTCTGGCAAACCAAGCAACAGATGAATCTGAAATTTTGATGGATGGTCGTATAACTTGACATGATCTACTCGTCTAAAATATTTCAAATGATGCGGCGTTGCCGCTTCTACTAGAATGTAGCAGCAAGTTGGATTTTTTCAAATGGAACACCCTGGTTTTCATTGCATTTTTGGATTCTTCCTGAAGAGCTGATTTCATCAATGTATCACACTTGGGGTCTAGCACAGAAGATGATAGGGTGTTCAAAATCGACATTTTTCAACTTAAGGATTTTTTGTGTCGAAACTATTCATTATTTGCCGAAACGGCTTAGATGTCCCTATCTTAAATGTTGATTTACTATTTACTTACATTTATTTAGAACATATAGAGGGTGATCAGAATTATGAATCTACCCTGTATTTCTTCCAATTAAATGTCGGTAGCTCGGTCGGTAGATAGTGAATCAAAAGTTGAGAAGCCGTTTTGACAAATAATGAGTTTCGACAAAAATAATCCTCAAGTAGAAAAATTTCGATTTTGAACACCCTATATCTTTGTAATCATTCCCGCTAAACCCCAAGTGTGATGTATTGATCTCGGTATTGATGAAATCAGCTATTCAGGTGAAATCTAAAGATGCAATGAAATACAGGGTGTTCCATTTGAAAAGTCATAGTTGCTGCTACTTTCTAGTAGAAGTGGCAACGCCGCTTCGTTTAAAATATTTTAGACGTGTAAATTCTTACATACCATCAAATTTTCAGATTCATCTGTTGCTTGGTTTGCCAGAAACGTCTAATTAAAGTTAATTGTGAGAAACCATGTATACTATTTCGCGATAAGCACCAGTGACTAGATTCTTGCTTGAAACTGATACGAGCACTTTCAAGTAGACCTTACGCGATGACATCTAACATGAGACTGGCACGATTCACTACCTCGTCCCGAATGACTAATTAGTTGCGTCAACTCCCGAAACAAGTATTTATCTATGACTAATAATAATAATGATGATATTTGAATTACACAGGGTGGTTGGATGGAACATGGAATATAATATACTACAGATATACAAGGTCATTTGAAACGATGGACTTTTGGCCAACTTTCTAATTTCTGATGAAATACAGTTTTTTTCGTATCAACAAATAACTCTGAATTATTATTGAAAATCACATTTGAGGGATACCTACGTGTATATTATAAAATTACATTTGATACATCACACATGTTTCTTGCTGGTTCAATTTCAACTAATTGACTTACCTTTTTTCATTCGAATAAATTGGTGAAATAAATTTCAAAATTGAATTGAATGTAACAGGAACATTATGAACTAACACAGTGTTATATCATTTTTTGGACGAAGAACCACTGTGTTGAAAAAGAATCATTCTCCAATCTAAAACATAATGAAGCAACGAAAATCTCCGGAAGGCCTCTCAGTAGGCACACAAAAAAATGCCACAGAAGAACAAAAACCTCGACAAAAACGATACTTCAATATCCTTCAAAGACTTCTTTGGGGAAGTGCATATATTACGTCTCAAAACCAACATTTTCAAAACATCCAAAAACAAACCCAGGAATGTTTGTGCTCGCTGGGATCATCTTACAGAAAAAAAAAACAAAAATAACAGAAAATCTCAATACAAATCATTCCTAATTTCGACATTTAAAACGTTTGGGTCTTCGTCACTGAACAGGTTGTTGCGACGTCATCTCAGAAACGGACCTGCACACCCTCAAAATAATGTCGCACATATGCAGCACCATCATTAAACCGGAAGAACCCCTAGACCCAAGAGCCCTAATCGCCAAGTGCCGGAGCAGGGTTCTGGACATATGCGGCATCGACCTGTCAGCCGTGCTGCTCGAGCAGGTTCAGCTCGGGCAGACCAGCAGGCAGATCCTGGACCAGGTGCGCTCGCTGAACGGCTCGCTCTGTCTCAAGTACAACTTCGGGGTGGCTCCTTGGAGCTTGGGTGTTCCGCACAGGGTGGCCGTTAGAGTGGTATCTTCCAGTAAGGAGACGTTGTGTGCCGCTTGAGGTGTGCTCAGCAGCTCGGATACTAACTGTTTTTTAACCGTGAACTAATCGTTTACTAACCATAAACTAAGCGTATACTAACCGTAAACTGAACGTATAATAACCATAAACTGACTGTACACTAACCATTAACGAACCTCGATACTAACCATAACCTAACCGTATCGCTAACCGTAAACCAACCGTATACTAATCATATACTAAAGAATTTGCTGACGATTCCAATAGCATGTGTCCGAAAATCATTCCTAACGGCATTAGAACCCTTTAGTGATACGGAAAATATGATTTAATATACAGTTAATACAGTTTGTCAAGATTAACAAGAATAATACAGAATAGAAATCTGAAGAAGTAATTCTTACTATTGGAGTACCTCGGGGCAGTATAGTAGGACCTTTGCTATTTATAATTTATGTAAATGATCTAAACTGCATTATTTCACCTGATAATGAAATATAATAATAATGATTTTGAGCATGTGCTCTTATAATAAAAATTCAAACTTGATAATCGAAATTTCACATTTCCAGTTAGTTTTCTTTCATGAGAGTTATAGTTGTAATTTGTTGAGAAAATATTTAACGCCTTATTCACCGAGTTCTTTTCATGCTCTCCTTTAAATGACTACAACACCACAAAAGGGGCCAATTCTGGACCCATGTTCATGTAACTATTTTTACTATTTTTGTTCCTAGAACTTGCAGATGAAATCTTTCCTCGAATCTTTCTATGTAATTTCGGGACAACCGGTATAACGAGAAATCTGAAGTGTAAAAGGAATAACTCAAACATTTTCTGAGAATCGTTTTTTGGGCTTTTCAACTTTGAAGTAGTACTAGGTTCCCAACTATGAATTATCAATAATTCACAATTTCACTTTTTTTTTTGGATTTCCTCAGGTGTGAAGCAAGAAAGGCCGTTACACCTGAGATCAGAAATGGTGCACCCCGCTTTCAGAGAAAGGGGTAGGGCGATACCACAGTCCCAGCCGCAAGAAAAACCTGCGCCGCCATCCAAGCTCATACCGAAAGTAATAGTCCCAGGAAGGGTAAGTATTTACCCTAATTTGATATTGATCAAATTTGTCCTTTTTTTTTCGTTCATGGTTTCATGAAGTTTACACCTAATAAAGGTGGTTTCAAAACATTCATTATCATTTCATCATCACATTATGAATTAAAAAGATAGAGCATAGACTCATAGAGCATAGAAGAACAATTAATTTACTTACTTACTTACTTATTTACTTACTTACTTACTTATTTACTTACTTACTTACTTATTTACTTACTTACTTATTTACTTACATACTTATTTACTTACTTACTTACTTACTTACTTACTTACTTACTTACTTACTTACTTACTTACTTACTTACTTACTTACTTACTTACTTACTTACTTACTTACTTACTTACTTACTTACTTACTTACTTACTTACTTACTTACTTACTTACTTACTTACTTACTTACTTACTTACTTACTTACTTACTTAATCCTATGCCTTTATACCGTTAGGTGTCAGGCGTATCGAGTTGTGTATTTCTTCTCCATATATCTCTCCATGTTTTCCTATCTCCTGTCAGTTCCTTAATTTCTTCCTATACTATGCCTTTTCTTTCAGCTTCCTCACTGATTACATCATTCCATCTTCTTCTAGGTCTTCCTTTACTGTTTTTCAAATCAGATGATTTTTCTCGAAATGTTAATGTGTACAAAATTTCCCTATTTCGAAAAATACAATTGATACTTATTCAACACCTTATGGTATGTAAAATGTTTGGATAAGAGGAATATGTATAGTTATATTGAACAAATATGGAATAATAGGTACCTTCCTATATTTGGAGTTTTGGAAACGAATTTTCTTCCATTTTTCAACACTGAAATGGAAAATAAATCGTGCTAATGATGGATATTCAGTCCAAAAGAGGGCAACTAAGCTGATACTAATATGGAAAATATGTCACGCAACTGCTTTCGAAAACAAAAATAAAAACTAGTTTTCTAAACTAACAATACATTGCATAATTTACTTATTTTCTCAAATGTTTGGGTAAAAGCTAAAAGGAAAGCTAAAACACCTTGCTGTATCTCAAAAAATTTTAAGTTTTACAGACAAAGTTCATCGGAACTATTTTCTTATTTCTTGTAGGGAATCTACCCTTGATATTTTCACAATATCAATCAAACACTGTATAATATCTACAAAAAAATTCCTGTCTTTAGATTAAAGTGGTAGATTAGTTGTTACAGATCTGTGTATGCAGTCATTATAATATTATCGAAGAATATCACTATTTATACGTTTATTAGGAATAACTGTTGGTACTGATCCAAAATTTATTTATACATGGCATCATGTCTGCTCAAAGTTGGCAAAGTGCTAAAATATTCTAAGTTATAGTTTGCCTCGAACTCCAAAACACAAACATTTCATAACTAATACCAAACGATTGGGAAAACAATCATGTGGTAGGGCATTTCCAATTTAAAATTTTCCATTCATATTGATGGAGATGAAAAAAGTGTACCAACCACATTGAAATAATTGAAATTTTACCAGAATGGAATTGAGTTCTGATTTTCTGATAGTATATTGAAACAGTTCATGATTGAAAAAAAAATTGAAAAAATGTCACAAGGTACCTAAATAAATTATACTTTGAAAATGGAATAGTTGATTATTTCATTTGGTTAGTAGATTCCTCAAGAATATGAAAAATATTTTATATACAGGATTTCCCGTAAACACCACGTCAAACTGGAAGGAATTGTAGATCGAAAGGTACTGTCTTCTGTCAAAAAAATCCCATTATGAAAGTCTCACTGTTTTTGTCTTTGTCTTCATGGAAAAAAAATCTACTTCTAGAACTTTTGATAAAAATATTTCCCACAGATCCCCTTCGGATTGTTAACAATATTTTTTCAATATAAAAGTTATAGAATAATTATTTTTTCTGAAAAAATATAATTAGAAAAGTGTGAACTATCAAATCAGCAATGCAAGAACCGGAAAAACTATACTGGGAAGGGCAAAGATCCAATTTTTTTATGACAAACAAAATCTCAAAAAATGGAATCATTTTGAATAAGAATATTTCATTGCAGAATCTATAGTTTCTAACTCCAGTTTGACGTAGTTTTTACGCAACACCTTGTATACTCGCCTACTAACTAACTTTTTCATTGAGATCGATAGTGGCCTTACAATGACCTCCGGCTAGCCGTTTTTGCAAATACCTCTCTAGGAAAATCAATTTTTGAGGTTTGATGGTTTCATCTACAATAATCTACTATAGAGGAACTTGAGAGAAATGAAACATTTTTCGCAAATTTAAACATGAATGAAATTCCTGTATTCAAAAATAAAATAACGTCGATTCCTTCACATTTGTATTTTCAACCACGAATCCATGAAAACGTAGTCGTTTATTTATTTATCTTCACTTTTTTTTGTTTATACCGCCTTCTATATTACGTCACTGATGGTTTCATTGATCAATCAAAGAGTCAAAATGTGCAAATTATTTTGGGAAATCGTAAATTTAATTAAGGCGAACGATTTTATTTCGGGTCCCGGATGTTAGTGTTTTCATCGATAAATTTGGTTTTTCCTGAACGTCTCAGAAACGAAATTGAAAATTGTGGAAAAAATTATTTTATTTTTGATGTTGTTTCATCACTGAAAAGCTATCAAATCAACTTTCAAATGCAATAATATTAATTAATTGAGTTTACGGGAGTGGCAAAAGATCTAGAGATTTAGATGTTTTTGTCAAAGTTCTTGTTAACAATTATTAGTATCGAATGTTGAATGATATACAGGTTGTTTCGAAATTCGACCGACAACGCTTGACAGGATGATAGCCCTCGTGATTTCATAATCACTCAGATAGGAACATATGGTCTTCAAGTGTTCAGTTCTCGAGATACAGGGCGTAAAATTTAGAAATAAAAATAGATGTTGCGCAATATCTCAAGAATAATTGAATATAATGCATTCAAATTCGGTATATGGTTTCATCTGTAGTACCACTTCGGATATTCAAATGAAATTTGGCATACATGTACTATGTATCAAGAGGCATCAGTTAGTGTACCACACGAGGTACCACATTTTTTACCGAGTTTTTTACCTTTTACGCTAGTGGCGTTCATATGGAATTTCACATAGGTACCTATTTTGGCGGACATTGATGGTACGCCACTGATTAATCTCGAAAGTGAAATCATTTCTGAAATTCCCAATCATTTGTAAGCAAATTTGATGGTTACAATTTTTTCAATCTGATGCATGGTTTTTGCTTAAAAAAATAAAAAGCTTCTCACTAAGTGATTATAGCAATATCGTTTATATGACAATATCACAATGCAGAGGAATATATTTTATTTTTTAGAGCAAATTCCAGAAATACAATTCATAGTTTATGAACTTCGTATTCGTAATTGGTATTTTGGAATTATACCTATATCCCAAAAGTTAGGACGTTTAGGTCATACGATCATATGAAACTTTCTTCTTAGAATGGGCGTAAGAATCGCCTCCTCGAATATTGACATTTAATTATGAAACACCCTGTATATCATTTCGTTATCAGATGACGGTAGAAATCTGCAGCCGGCTCTCCTACTAATACTACTAACGGAAATTTTCGATTGTTTTCTTTTTCGTTAAAAATTGAGGACGTACATTATAATTGATTTGAATTGATCGTAATTTTGTAGCCAGGTCCGGTTCCAGGCATGCGCCCCACGATAGGGGGCGCAGGTCACGTGGTTCCTGCTCCTAAACAAGGCGCTGGCAGTATGGGTCTCATAATGCCCATCTACACCATTGGCATCATCATATTCTTCACCTATACCGTGATGAAGGTGAGTCTGAATCGAAATTATTTTCAGTGATAATTCCACACCAGTAATTTTTAACCTATCAAACTAAGTTTTTTTGACAAATCACCATTACAACGTATTATTATTATACCAGCGAATTAATTCGGCAATTTTTTGACGTTTTATTGATGACAGAGTAATATTTTCTTCTCCAAATGACATTAAAAGTGGATTTTCAATGACTCTTAACAGGCAGAAAAGGTGTACTTTTACTGCCAAGGCAGAAAAAGTTTGTTGCTATGCTACCAAATTGGTAATCAAAATTGACAATGACTGTAGGTGAACAAAAAATGATGAATTATTTGGATTTTTCGTGAAATTAAATAGAATTTGGAGAAAAAATGATATGTTCCACATGGCAGAAAAGAAGATGTAATGCCTTCCTAGCCTCGGTTACGCCTAGGCTATGAATCGCCAGCCGCGGCATTCTTCTTCTTCTTCTTCTTCGAAGCACTGGTGGGCGGGTGAACCCCCTGCACGTGGGCCTCCTTATTCGGGCCCATTGTGCGCCCACATGTTACGACATTCAGCTGGGTATGCCGACTGCCTTGGAGAAGTTCAGCAGCTGCCTCAGCTGAATCTCTTTTACGTCCTCGGGCCTCAAAATTATGTTGCCAAGGACAGCGCTCCTCTGATGCGTCAGAGCTGGACACTCAGTGAGTACATGTGATGACGTTTCGTCATCTTCCAGGCACCATCTGCAAAGGGGGTCATCCTCGATCCCAATAAGCTCTAGGTACCTATTGAGGTGGTTGTGTCCCGTTAGGAGCCCCACTACCATTTTAAGGTTTCGCCTGTTTAGGAATAAAACCTCTTTTGCGAGCCTCTTCGAAGGTTCCTTTATGTGGAGCTTCGATTGTCTCATTCCTGGTGTGTCCTGCCATATTTTGAGAAATTGCTTTTGCAGTTGTTCCTCTATAGAGGACATTGCCAGGCTATTTGGTATTCCCAAGATTGGTTCTGGTCCGACCGAGGTCCGTCCTGAACCGATCTTTGCCAGTCTGTCTGCCTCCTCGTTTCCGGGTATTCCCGAATGTCCCGGGACCCACATGAGGCTGACTTTTCTTGATTTTGACAGGTTTCCCAAGGCTTTTCTGCACTCGGACACCAATTTGGATGTGATCCTATTGGATTGCAAAGCCAGTATTGCAGCTTTGCTGTCCGAGCATATAGTGATTGGTCTACGACCTCTCATAATTAGGTTTTCTTGGAGCCGCGGCATTAAATCTTGTACTTTTCTGCCTAATAAAAAAATAGTTATTTGTTTAGACTCAAAGTTTTCAATAAACTTCCCAGTCGATTGAAAAACTTCAAAAAACTCATTTCAAAACGAACTTGAAGCAATGCCTACTGGAACTTTAGAAGAATATTTTTCGGCACCATACCGGGTGTCAACAAATCTATTAGACAAGTCATAACTTCTAGACCATTATAGGTGTATCAAAATGAGACTTGGTATAGGTAAATGGTATGTGGCTCCGGTTCTAAATTTTTAAATGGAACACCCTGTATATTGTAACATTTTTGGATTTCTTGACAAAAGTAAATGAATTATCATGAAGTATTTTTGGTCAGTCATATTTAATTTATGTTCTCATTTGTAATCCAATCGCAAATAAATTAGTATCCTTAGATTCCTCAAAATATCCTTTTTTCGGAAAGTGCTTGTCAAAAAATGGTCGCCATTTGAAATATAATAGTTAGACACGAAAATGTAATTTTGCCAACTATCATACTTGTCACTAAAAACTTCGCGATTGGAATTTTCTGATATCACCTGAGGTCCTTAGATTTGTTTACTTCCGATCATGGCCACCTAGATGTAATTTCAAAAGTGAATCCGAAAACATCAAGTAGGCATATAAACTTTCGAAAATGTCACATTCTGATCTAGAATTGTCTCAGAAAACGAAAATGTTACAATATACAGGGTGTTCCATTTAAAAATTTAGAACCGGCGCCATTTCCGGTGAAACCAGATGTGACCGGAAATTGAAAAATATGTGAGAACTCTCCTCGTCAGATACCATTTTCCTATACCAAATCTCATTCTGATACATCTAATGGTCTAGAAGTTATGACTTGTCCAATAGATTCGTTGACACCCGGTATAGTCTTTTTGTTTTCGTCTCTGTAATGTCGAAATATTATTATCATTTTATCTTATGTCTCTGTCTCAAACTGTCTAGTTTCTAAGGTTTCAATCTGACGATTCCTATACAAGTTAAAAAAGTCCAATGAAAATGAACGTATTGTATTGTATTGACGTTTTCAGGTGTTGTTCAAGAAACAGCCGGATTCTTTGTATCCCTCTGTAGATGCTGACGCGACGTTCAGAAGGGAAGTGTTCGAATCTGCCAAGGTCCATTTGCGTCCAAGGACTGAAAAAGATGGCGTTTCCACTAAATTAGGTGAGTGAAATTTGTTGAAAAACAAAACATTTTGGGAACGACCAAATTTCATTTACAACCTTCTCTGATAATGGCTTAGGAAAAAAAGTACCTTGTATATTTTTTTTGCAATTTCTCGAAGGATGGAAAGAACGAGATACAAGTAAGTTTTTTGTGCATTCTAATATCCACATGCAACTAGAAAACATTGTGAAAAAATACCTCTGCAGTAATTCCACTTCTTGGCAGAACATTCTAATTTTTTTCATTTCATTCCATCAGCATCTTTCATCCATATTATGTTCGTTGTTTCGAAAACCTATATAGAAAAAATTGTTCATACATTAGAATAATTTATTTACACCCCTCATGTCTTCGTGGTACGTTTATGTGTTGTGTTTTCCATCTCAATCTCTTTACGGGGTGTTATATTCCTATCATGAAATGTGAATTATACTGATGAAGAAAATAGATTACCCTGTATAAAAGGTAATCGATAGGACAGAACAATAAACGTACCATATGTTTCATTTTTCATTTGTACTGTCTAGTGTCGTAAAGGAGGGAAAAGGGTCATATATGAAACACCTAGAAAAAAATCCAGAAAATAATAAACATTTTTTAATCATTCCATGTACAGGGTGTCCGGAGGTCATATCGTAAATGGTATAAAAAATATGTCAATCGCGTTTCGTTACCGAGTTATTGACCTTGGAAGTAAGAATCCATTTTTTTGTACTGTTGTTGTTGTTAAAAATATTGAATATTTCTCATGGCATTTTGGGGAAATATACAGGGTGTTTCAAAATTCAGTATCAAGATTTTAGGGGCGTATTTTTCAGGTCAAAATAAGACGTTTTTGTCCATAAACATGTGTCCGCAAACGCTTCGTTACCGATCTACAGAGCGTTAAAGTTTCAAGATTTTTTTATTTTTTTCTTCATAGCTCTTTCAATTTTTGAGATATTAAGATCAAATTTGGAATGTAGGTTACGTTCTAGGGCTTACATCATCCAGCATGCCGAGTGATTGTGAGAATCTACAGGGAGATATTTTTTTCAGGGGTCAAGCCCTTTTTTACCCCATAAACTTTTTTGTGGTGCGCCGCTGGTGAATTCTGAGATACGAAATGAATTCTTTGTTTTCTTTATAAATTTTTTTGTCTCTTGTAATTTTCACGCATCTGCGATCGTTATCGAGAAAAAAGTAAAATCAATTTTTGTGATTCGCTACATTTAATAAAAATTTTCAACGGAACAATGAAAAAGCGAATTAGTGGGCTTTGACTGCTATTTTCATTTTGACGTTTAGGTTTGTTTTGAAGCATTTGACATTATTTGAAAGTTGGTGGATGTCTCATCGTGTATTTGTTTAACTTTAACGCTCTGTAGATCGGTAACGAAGCGTTTGCAGGACACATGTTTATGGACAAAAACGTCTTATTTTGACCTGAAAAATACGCCCCTAAAATCTTGATACTGAATTTTGAAACACCCTGTATATGGAAGTCTTCTGAATCGTTGAAAAAAATTAATTCATTAAAAAGATTCCCATATGTTGCACACTTAAATTACCACACTGTATATCTTGGTATAGTTAACTCATGAATTCCATATGGAAAGTACGTATGATACGCCAATGACCTCAATATAACCTAAAAAACAACAAATGTCAAAAATCTACTGTTTATCCCCAGAATTGAATAAGGATGGAACTATATAACTGTTTCACAAACACTTTAGAGTGAGAGGAGACGAGGATCTGTCCATACCCTGTTAAGACAACTTTAACGTCAATTTCCATCAAGGGACCCTAGGGGTACCAAAGGTCCTTAAGGTCCTCCAATCACGTGATCAATTGTGACCAATAATGAGGATAATGTTCGGTGTTCGTCCACTAGTTTGTGTGTATCCTGTAATATAATATGTCTAGGAGACGCCGAGCTGGATCAGCTGCGCCGCAAGCTGCGCGAGACCGAGTCTGCGATGGAGCGCATCGTCGAACAAATGGCTAAAGTGCCTCTAGAACTGCAGGTGCCCCCTCTCTCCTGACACGCACTATCGGCAGCTTCTCGCTTTAGGCTTTTTCGCTTGTTGCATGCTTCCATCTTTTCCCACTTCATTTATTTCCAATCTGACTCGAAATGAGGCATAGGCAGGCTTTCAGACCAATCACAACGTTGAAAAATTCACGCATGCGTGGTACGGCTTCAGTTGTTTTTATATTTGAACCAGATACTCTATACGTATATGTACTACTGCAATAACTTATACATGAAATGTTCAAACATGCTTTGAACGATTTAATAAAGACACTAGGATTGCAACTCGAAAGATCAAATTCATAGATGGAGACTATGTAGGTAACATATACAGGGTGTTCCTCAAGAATAAAACTTCATATGAACGTATGTTGTAAACGTCCTAACTTTTGAGATACAGGGTATCAAAATTGAAAATAGCATAGATTATTTTTTTGTCCACCCTGTATAGCTTTTCATGATGAAAAAACTCAGTCTGCTATGTGAATGAAACGGAGGAAAATTTAAAAATGTTACATACTGTGGTTATCCAGTAATTTCTGTCCTGAATGGAGTTCTAAGTCTGGTCTCGTTTTTCCGATTTTTCTCGAAAACGGAGCGTTCTATCGAGTATCAACAAGAGGATTTTTTTGTACAGAATTGGCTGGCCTTTCATAGGATTGTATGAAATTTGGAAATGTTCCTTCATGGCTCACTTTTAAGTAAAATATAAACAGTAATATCCCCCAAACGGCGCCACTGGTAGAGAGAATGAAAGTTTGTGTGCATCAGAAAATGCACCTTGATGCATAGAAGACATGTACCAAATTTGCTAAAGATGTCTACAATATTATCTCAGTTATTATCGAAAAACTGAATTTTTTTCAAAACTTTATCGCCCTGTATCTCAAAAGTTGAGACTCTTAAGACATACGTTCATACGAAGTTTTTTCTTAAAATGAGTCTAAGAATCACCCGCTCGAGGAACACCCTGTATAACTATAAATATATTTTTAGTAACGGCAATTTGTCCTAAATATTATTTTCCAGTACCTAGCTATCACATGTAATGCTTTATCAATTGCTAGTTATTTGAAAATAATTATTCATCGATCATTATTCGATGTATGTGACTCGTTGATTCAAATTTATCGCCATGATCCGCGATTCGAATTTACCTCCGCCAAAATGATTGGTCTAGAAGCCTGCCTATGCCTCATGTCAGGTCAGATCAAATTCGTGCTTCCTACGAGGTTCTAGTTAATATACAGCGTGTCCTGTGTGTGTAAATACCTATTACTTTCATAAAAATGCTGTTTAGATGTCCCTGTTATTTTATGAAAACCTTCATAGGAATCTTATAAAAATATACAAGTGGGGCATTGAAGCCATGAAGAGCAATGTTATGTCGTCGGTTTTCCTGTAAAAAATTCCTAATATGATTTCATAAATAATTGACCCTTTTTCGTTCCAATAAAAACGCACGGCACTGTCTAAAGTGATATACGACTCTGAAAAACTGATCATATTGATGAAGATTGCATGACTAATAACTGAGATATAGAGGGGGGGCGTTTGAAATGCGAGACACGCTGTATATGGGGTGTTTCGTGAGTACGTTCACATCGATCTGTGTGTTTCTCTAACATGTATCCAAAAACGCTTCGTTTTAGTTCAATAAAAAATCGTATTTTTGAAGTGTTTCCTAAATTGAATCAACCTTCTTTCATAAAAAGCTTTTATTCAACTATTGTTTGAAGAAAAACAAAATGGTGGATCCAAGATGGCGGACAAGATGTCTGATTATGATCCGATTAGATTCAAAATTGGTTTGTGGGGGTTTTTGGGATCGGAGATTTTGAATTTTTTGTCGAAATTTATGTATTCAAAATGGCGGCTCGGAGATGGTGGACGACGTATAAAATTATGTTTTAAATTAAATTTCGCAAGAAGCTTCAGTACATATAAATTGTATATTGTGAGAAATTGATGGGTTCTTTTTATTTAGGGCAATTGAATAAATGCTTGTTTTTCCATTATTAATTTATGTTAATCAATTTCAACCAAATGTATCTCGGAAATTGAACGTTTTCAGATCAAGAGATCACCATCTGAATTTTGTGCACGTAGTAATAGGTATTGGTATAACTCTGTGAAGTAGTACCAATAACTGCAATTTCTTCTATTCATCGAATTCCGAGTTAACAATCATATATTAAAAGACTAACTTTATTTTTTTCATTTTTGAGACCCCTGTAGGAAAAAGCTCTACTTGGTTTAGGATTCTAGGTTAATCAATGTGAGTTTTTTTTATTTTCGTAGGCCAGTGGTGTATAGTTGCGGTTGGGTTTCTCATCAGCTCTCTAAGAATATATCGAATAAAGAGATATGATTGATTCTCAAGGTGATAAAATCTCAATACAAATTTCTTTCAAAACATCGGGATATTTTTTTCAACTTCCTGAACTATTTTGAATATCGCGCGAACTATGTATGTAGATGAATTTTCATTAATTTATTTGTTGTAGAATTAATTTCTAACAGCTAAGCTGATGATCAACCTTTATAGGTTCGAAACATGTCCTTGACTGGGGGTTTTACTACTACTTTAAAAAAATAATTGTTATGGGTGAATATTTCCTTTTTTATGGATCACTAATAATATAACGGCTGAGTTTTGAATTTTCAATTTTTTTCATATACATCCACATCAAACTCAAAAACAAAGTATTGATCATCAAATTTATATTTTGAAATTGCCAAACACTCACTCGATCAACACTCAAATTCGTGTTATTTTGTTGATTTGAGTTTATATGTAAACGAATCTCAGTGTTGACATTCTGTATTCCTAGTTGTGAATGCGATGTCTGCACTATTGGACGAAGTCGATCAAGAATTATCAGCGCGCCATAAGGCTAGTGAGGTTACTGACCAGGTAACTAGTCGTTCAAAGATGTATTGCATTATAACATTTAGCCAGACAGCACAAGATAAAATAAATATCATAATTTACCTTTATTATAGTAATCAGCTTCATTCAGCCAATGAGAGATTTATGGGAATTATTCATAATACTTGACGAAGTAGGATTGAAGAACCTATTTTATCCCATTGCTGTTTTTATGATATAGTTATTATGCATTCAATGAACAATTCCCGGAAATCGGAAATCTAGACATATTGATGATGTCGGCAACGACGTACTGGCACAGGGAATCGTATTTTAACTGTGTGTGAATGTAGATGTTCAGAAAGTAAGTCATAGGAATGGTGGAGGAGCCAAGTTTCTTTTTTATTTATTTTTTTATGGAGTGAAATTTGATCTTACGAAAGAAAGAAAGAATACGTATATATTAATTTAATTAATTATATTATTATATTAAATATATCAACTTCACAGTGAGATAAAAACTTCCATATAGGAAACTTCCCCATAAGCAGGTGTCAAGACTTGTATGAATGAAGATGATTTTTTATACTGATGTATCGTTATATGTTGAAGTTCTATAATTTTGATTATTGTTTATCATTTAATTGCTTTTTTACGGAAAAAATTTTGGAAGCGATGATGCCTCTCCTCAAGTATTTGTAATATATCTTTGAAAAAGAGAGTACGACAGAGAGAGTATTTTTGAAAGCCGCACCTACTACACGTTAATGCCGAAATTTGGCGAAATTCTATGATATGGTGTTTTGTGCTGTCTGGAAACATGAGATTCCCTAATTAGATGTTCAAATACGCATTAATCAATTTAACATTGCTAAAGAATATGCTTAGAATAGGCAAAATGGAGTTTTCTGCTTTGTAGATTCGTTGTTTAATATCGAAAAAGTGAAATTTTGTTGGTTTATTTGATTTTTTATAAAATACTCTTGCTATTGAAGATAGTGATTGAATGAGGCGCATGCTTTTTCCAGATAGCAATTTTTATTTTCAGAAGCACATTTTGTGTTTCCCCACATATCAATGTCCTATTTTTTCATGGATGCAGCCGTGCTTTGAATAGTTTGTATTGTCGTTAAAACACCTTCGTACATATCTATACGAAAAAATATCGAATTGAATTTACATTTTCTAAGGACGTAGTGGCTAACGGAAGAATAGTAACCCGAGAAGAGGATCATGCCTCTGTCAAGGTGCTGGGCATGGAAACAACAGCAAGCTGCGAAGGCGGCAAAAAATGGTCCCGTCCAGATTCTCCCGTGTTGCCAGCTCATCCTCAAAGTGCAGACCCAATCGAACCGCCTCAGGTAAAAAAAATCGAGGAGGTAATCAGGGCCTGAAAACTTGTACAGGGTCATTCTGTATATTTGAACAGCTTCTTCAGGAACTTCAAAAGGATGTATCACAAGACCCCCTTTTCCCATTTAATTTTTTTCCACAGATGGCACCCAGTCGCCATCTCGAAATTTTCATTTGTCAATTTCACTCCAAATTATAGTATTCATGCATCAATTTCATTACCCCAAGTTTCAGTTTTTTCAGTCGACCCGTTCAAAAAATAAAGGGGGGGGGGGCATTAAAGAAAAGATTGTATATTTAATGACCCTGTACATCAAACTTCCCATAGGGCAAAACTTCCCACATTTCCTCGAACTTCCCCGAACTTTCCAAATATCCTAGACTTCCCCCAAACTTCCTCGAAATTCCCCGAACTTCCTCGAGCCTATACACCAAACTTTCCGCATGAAAAAAATCTTTACAGTGAATTGTACGAAAGCGTATAAGCGCCATATGATATATTTTTTTTATAATTGGTAGATATTACTTTCGACTAGCCTATTTGATAGATACTAAGTGGTAAGTCGCATACTTGACAGATACTATGTGATAAGTAGCATACTTGACAGTTACTAAGTAGTAACTAGTATGCTTGACAGATACTTAAGTGTCAACTAGCCTAATTGACAGATACGAAGTGGTAAGTAGCTATACTTGACAGATACTAAGTGATGAGTAGCATACTTGACAGATACTTAAGTGTCAACTAGCCTAATTGACAGATACGAAGTGGTAAGTAGCTATACTTGACAGATACTAAGTGATAAGTAGCATACTTGACAGATACTAACTCTTAACTAGCTTATTTGACAGATACTTAAGTGTCAACTAGCCTAATTGACAGTTACGAAGTGGTAAGTAGCTATACTTGACAGATACTAAGTGATAAGTAGCATACTTGACAGATACTAACTCTTAACTAGCTTATTTGACAGATACTTAAGTGTCAGATGTGCCTAAGTGCCTAATTGACAGATACTAAGTGGTAAGTAGCACACTTGGCAGTTACTAAGTGGTAAGTAGCATACTTGACAGATACTTAAGTGTCAACTAGTCCAATGGACAGATATTAGGTGATAACTAGTATACTTGACAGATACTTAATTGTCAACTAGTATCTAGCAAGTTGGCTAGTTATCACTTGATATCTGTCAATTGGGGTAGTTGACACTCAAGTATTGGTCAAGTATGCTACTTACCACTTCTTATCTGTCAAGTATGCTACTTACTACTTAGTATCTATCAATTAGGCTAATTGGCACTTAAGTATCTGTCAAGTATACTAGTTAACACTTAGTATCTGTCGAGCATACTACCACAGTATACACCCTAGCGGAAAATACTTACCACTTTGTATCTGTCAAGTATTCTACTTACCACTTAGTATCTGTCAAGTATGCTACTAACAGTATCTGTCAAGTATGCTACTTACCAATTAGTATCTGTCAAGTATGCTACTTACCACTTAGTATCTGTCTGTATCTGTCAAGTATGCTACTTACCACTTAGTATCTATCAATTAGGCTAATTGACACTTGAGTATCTATCAAGTATACTACTTACCACTTAGTATCCGTCTACTATGCTACTTACCAGTCTCACCACTTAGTATCTGTCAACTATAAAAAAAATATAGCATGTGGTGCTTATACGCTTTCGTAGAATTGACATTTATCAATTGAAATCTATTTTTTTATACAGGAAATTTTCTTGGAAGGTTCTTTACCTCCTCAGTCACATCTTTTGGTGACTGATTCCGCTACAGAGGCTCAGAATGTCAACTCAGAAGAAGATCCAGCCGTTGTTCTAGCAGGAAAAATGACCTTGTCTGTTATCAGTCTCGATTCTTCCGGTAAGTACATGAAAAAATGCAGTTAGACACCCAGCAAGATAGTTATACTGTGAAATATTACTGGATTTTAAGGGACTGTATTGTTAATTCTGTTTTTGTTGCCAATAAATGGGTTTCATGTTGAAATAAGAACTTTTTCTAGAATAAATGACCCTTATTCAACTGATCTTTCATTTTCTGAAACTGTGATTTTAGAATGTTTTGCAGGCTTCTTTACATCTCATGACTAGGTATGTTTTCGTCAAAGTAGATGTAGTAATCTAACAAAAAAATAACCATAATATTCCAGTCATACTAATACATCTTACAAATCCCCTATTATCAATTTCATCTTATTACACACAAAAAACCAACCTCATGCAGACTGAAAAAAAAATCGTTTATTCTAGAAAAAATCCAGACCAGCCTATACCAATGAAAAATGTTCTTCTTCTTGCAGATAACTTGACAGACGAGTCGTCGAACGGAGGTAAAAACGGAGAAAGAAGCAGCAGCAATACCTCTGAAGATTTTGAAAAAATCGAAGCTGACTGTCAACTAGGTCAGATCAATGATGCAATTGAAGAAGCACAAAATATCGGAGTAAAGCAAAGTTTGCTAGATGAAATAAGAGACGAGACCAATCAGAACAAAGGAGATGCCAATATGGAAATACTAGAAGTAATTGAAGATTCTGAAAAAGGAAATATAGAAGCTCAACTAAAAGAAAATTATTCAGAACCGGAATTGCCGATCACTGAAGATGAGTTGAAATTGGAAGGTGAAATTGAAGAATCAGAACAGAAAATGGAGGAAACCAAGCAACTTACATTGAATCAAGATATACCTGAAACAAATGTTGAAGAAATAACTGAAAAATCCACCATCAATGAGAAGAAATCTGTAGAAGCAGAATGCAAAGAACAAGAACTGGCCCAAAGCCATCCAGTAGAACTGAAAGATACAGTTACTGAAGAAAAAATGTCTTCTGACATCAATGAAGAATCTTCACCAGACATTCTTGTTGATTTGCATCCAAGTGAAAAAACTGTTGAGGAAAGTATTAACTTAGATCGGGAAGCAATGAAAGCTAATGGAGGAGTCACAATTTCTGAGAGTGAAGAGGAAGTTGAGGAAGAGGAAGAAGAGGAAGAAATCGAGTATGAGTATGAGGAGAGTGATGATGAGGTGGATGAAGAGATAAGAAACGTTGAAAGGATGGATGAACAGGATGAGAGACCCTCTCAGAGAATGAATGGTGGTGATTTTGACCATTCGAAGAATGGGACTATAAGTGATGCTAATATGGCAGAAAATGACATTTCTGATGTAAGTAAACTTGTAATAATTTCTCTGGATACTTTTGGGGTTTTAGGAGGGGTTTTACTCTCCTCCTTGCTAAAAATCAGTATTAGTATTATTCACCACATTTGAACATTTTCACTATTAGAAACCTAGATTGGATAGTATCTAATATCTTAGCAAGCCATTTTATTTTGCTTGAAAAATTTAGTTGAATAAAATATGTAACTAATATCCCAGGGGTAAATTGCTGTCAAAATTGTGTACACCAAATTTCAATTCCACAAGGATTTACAAGGAATTCCGAGGAATTTCAAGAAATTCCAGTTGTTTGTACACCAGACTTATACTGCTCTTCACACAAGGAATTCCAAGGATCTCCAAGGAATTCTAAGGAAATCCAATAAATTCCAAGGATTTCCAAAGAATTCTAAGGAAATCCAAGAAATTCCAAGGAATTCCAGTTGTTTGTACACCAAACTTATACTGCTCTTCACACAAGGAGTTCCAACAAACTCCAAGGAATTCTGAGGAAATCCAAGGAATTCCAGTTGTGTACACCAGATTTATACCACACTGCACGCTAAGAATTCCAAGGAAATCCAAGGATTTCCAAGGAATTCTAAGGAAATTCAAGAAATTCCAAGGATTTCCAAAGAATTCTAAGGAAATCCAAGAAATTCCAAGGAATTCCAGTTGTTTGTAGACCAGAAATACCACACTTGTCTTCACCCAAGGAATTCCAAGGAAATCCAAGAAATTCCAAGGATTTCCAAAGAATTTCTAAGGAAATCCAGGAAATTCCAAGGAATTCCAGTTGTTTGTACACCAGATTTATACCACACTGCACCCTAAGAATTCCAAGGAAATCCAAGGAATTCCAAGGATTTCCAAGGATTTCTAAGGGATTCTAAGGAAATCCAAGAAAGTTCAAGGATTTCCAAAGAATTTCTAAGGAAATCCAGGAAATTCCAAGGAATTCCAGTTGTTTGTACACCAGATTTATACCACACTGCACCCTAAGAATTCCAAGGAAATCCAAGGATTTCCAAGAAATTCTAAGGAAATTCAAGAAATTCCAAGGATTTCCAAAGAATTCTAAGGAAATCCAGAAAATTCCAAGGAATTCCAGTTGTTTGTACACTAGATTTATAGCACACTGCACCATAAGAATTCCAAGGAAATTCAAGAAATTCCAAGGATTTCCAAAGAATTCTAAGGAAATCCAGGAAATTCCAAGGAATTCCAGTTGTTTGTACACTAGATTTATACCACACTGCACCATAAGAATTCCAAGGAAATCCAAGGAATTCCAAGGATTTCCAAGGAATTCTAAGGAAATTCAAGAAATTCCAAGGATTTCTGAAGGGTTCTAAGGAAATCCAAGAAATTCCAAGGAATTCCAGTTGTTTGTACACCAGAATTCCACCACGGATTACTCCTCACTAATATCTTAATTGGACACTAAATTTTAACTAGATATCTACTAAATAATTGAAAAAAAAATATTATGAACATTATTTTCAATCACTGTTTTTCTCTATAATGTAATGTAAATGATTTATTTCTTCAGGTATTTCAAAATTCATTTCTTTAAAGGATGATGTTTTTTCCCAAATATTGAATGAAATTGAATAAAGATAAAATAATTCCTCATCCTTTGAGTCTGAAATAAAAAGTTCTGGACTGGAATTTCAGATGGTCTAAATCAAACTAGACAAACAATTAGAGGACAAAAATGAACACCCAATTTTAGTCTTTTGTGTACTTGAATTTATTTTTTTCAGGATGAAAATTCAGATGATGAAGATGTTAAAGAAGAAATCATAGAATATGTGACTGATGAAGAAGATGCAGATTTGATTGAAAACAGTGTTAATCATGTGAATGACAATTGAGAAGGAACAATATCTGAAGCTCAGACATTTCAATCTTATTAACACTTGATTATTTTGAAGAAAATAATATTGTTTGGAAAGTATTGTGATTTTAGATTTTTAACTTTTCAACATAGCATCTTATAATGCTATTTCATCCTACAAAACAAACAACCCTTGAAACAGCCCCATTACCTTCAATAGATTAGATTGCACAGCATTTTAATAGATTGTAGAGATTGTCATTTAGAGTGGTTTTTTTCCTGATCCATTGTTATGTTTGTGTTTTTTTATGATGATTTGTTTTGAATATTTATATTATTGGGTTTCATGAGAACTTTTATTCTGAAATGTATTACATTGAATGATTATAGAATAAAATAATGTTACTATACACTATTGTTTATTGAGAAAATAGCTTCCAGTCAGAAATGAAATTCTGGTATGAAAAAGTTGATTACCAACAATAATAATAAAATAACAAAAAAATCTGAAGAATCTAAAAATGCTAAATGAATCAATCATAAAATAGCAACAGCGATCAATCAATTGATGGCAATGTATCAATTTTATCTATTTCATAATGAAATCATGTGTCTTTTAATGCTACTTTAAATTTGGAAATATGTCTGCAATCTTTCATATTATGTGGTAATTTAGTGAATTCAGCTAGAGCAGCATGGGTTAATCTTTTTTTGAAATAAGTTTAATTGTCTCCTGTAATGACTATGAAATTATGAGTTACTTATCAACACAATATATGATTTCAATTTTTTTTTATGATATATGAAACATTTAGTCTATTCTCAATCAATTTTTCATTATGGAACAAAAATCATGGTTGGATTCATATAGGTATTCATTTATTACTGAAAAATAAACCAATCCCCAATTTTAATATTTTACATATAACATATTTGTCTACCAATGAAAACAGTTAAAGAAGCATGTTAGTTTAGAATTCTCATGAACATTATTCCACATGTTTTTGTAAGAAATTTAAAGGAACATTCAATAATAATTCATACCCCTTTCACAATGACATCTAAAAAATGTTTGATTCATGTCTAGGATAGTATGTCAGAGATTAGAGGATGATATACATTTATTTTGGTTGGTAAATTGAAAAGATGTACCTGCTACTCAATAAGATATTTATATTTACACAACTACATCTAAATACACACAAATTATTTACCAGTGGTCCAGTTACCTGGCCTATGTTTTGTTAAAGTGAAATCATAGTCCCAAACACCTTGACTGCCAATTACAATATCATTGGGAGGAGTTACCAACCAGTTGTTATCATGCATGATCTTCCTGATGACAGCCAGCGTTCCGAAAAGCATCCCCATATTGAATCCCACAATGGTCCGTTTCCTCCAGAGTCCAAAAACACTTCCTGCTGCAAATCCCCCAATGAACCAGTTCAAGTTGTCATCCTTCTTTCTCAAGCTTGAAGAAATGTTGGAGGTTACCACAAAGGCTGTGCTGGCCCCAAAAAGTGGCCAGCATACATGTACCAAACGGCCTAGGGTTGGCAAGTATCCCTTGGGGTGAGACCAAGCCAGGACGTCGAAAATTCCGATCCCAGCGGCAGTGAGAGCTGTGGGCTTCATCAAACAATACCACTTATTGAAGACATCTTCACCACTCGGGGCGTGGAAGTAGCTGTAAGGCTTGATTTCGGAGTTTTCGGACATGATTCCGTAAATTAAAAAATATTAAACCTTACCTTACATAAGTGACATTTATAACTTATTGACACTTGACATTGCTTGACATTGACAGATGTATTTATTACCTCAACTCTTCGTCTTCTTTTAATACGGCACTCATTGTGTTGAGGTTTCATATAAAACGGCTTTGCTTTTGTGTCCCTTTGCTTGAATCCGTAAATGATCTAAAAAATCTCCCAGGGGGTCTATTCTCGAGCGATATTCGTATACGAGTTCGATCTTCTATTTCACTTCAATATACGTCACATACATAAGTGCATCTTTCTTTCTTCGTATACGAATTGAATTCGAACGGTTCGAGAATAGAGCCCCAGATATCCAGATATCAGCTGATGATGACGGGCATGCGTGGAAGTTATTGTTGTGGTTGAAAATGGTGAGAAGAGAGGATAAAGCAAAATGAAACTGAAAATATAAATCTCTAGTGATGGCTGAAGAAAAACTCTTCATATCCTTTGCATGCCAGAGATGTTCCCAGGCACTTCGTCTCGATGATTCCCTGAATTCTTTCAGTGAACACACTTCAGCAGAGCTAAATTGTGTGTGTTTCCTTTGTTATTATCTTATAGGATTTACAATTAGGTATCATTTTAGTGCCCATACATTCCAATCCTGATGTTGATTTGGAGTCTCAAGCGACCAGTTTCGATCACTATGTGCCCCCTTGTAGGCTGTCTGATTCTGGAAATGGAGCTAATGGTTTTATGTTGATATCAGATGAAAATGAAGTTGATCTACTGAGTCATCAGTTCAAGGTACACACTTTTATTACATCTCAGAATAACTGGGTATATTTTACTGATGATTTTGTTTTCAGATTCAAGCTGCTCTATTTGATACAATTTCAGGGAATTCAAATATTGATCACCCCTTATGTGATGAATGTACAGATAATTTGATAGAGATTTTAGATCAACAACTCAAAATCACACAAGAAGATTATGATGATTATAGCAGATATTACAAAATGTATGAACAAATGTCTAGACATTTTGGCTCAACTATTGATGATACTTATTGTTACAGGTTACTGAGTGAAAAAGATGAACCCAAACTCAGTGATCTTGAAAAAGAACTGAATGATCTGAAATCAGAAGAAAATAGACTTCTTGATGAATTGGAAGCTCTACAAAAGGAAGAGGAGGAAACCTTGAGATCCATTGGACAGCAAGAAGCTATATCAGAAAAAATTACCCAAGAGGAAGATAAATATTGGAAAGAATACACAAGACATCGCAGAGATTTCTTAGTTCTTGAAGAAGAAGGAAGAAGGTACCTGAACATTTTCAATGTGTTTCAATATTATTTCATGATTTTTTCAGCCTAGAATGTCAATTGAACTACATAAGTCTTCAGCTTGATAAACTGCAGAGGACCAATGTTTTCAATGCCACCTTCCATATTTGGCATAAGGGTCATTTTGGTACTATAAATAATTTTAGATTAGGACGATTGCCATCAGCACCAGTGGACTGGTCTGAGATCAATGCAGCTTGGGGCCAGACAGCTCTATTATTGTCTTCTCTTGCTAGAAAAATCAACCTCACTTTTGAAAGGTTCAAGCTTGTGCCATTTGGAAACCATTCACATATTGTGGTATGTAACTATATCTATTTTTCAATATCAAGACTTGCATAATTCAACAAATCACATTTTTTTTTCATTTATATAAAATATCAGTTAGATATTATTTTTTAATATTTTCAGGTTCTTGAGGAAGAAAAGGAACTTCCTCTCTATGGATCAGGGGGTTTCAAATTCCTGTGGGACACAAAGTTTGACAGTGGAATGGTGGCATTTTTGGATTGCTTGCAACAGTTCCAGGAAAAAGTTGAGAAATTGGAAAAGGGAAACAAGGTTTTCTGTTTTCCATACAGAACAAATAAAGGAAAGATAGAAGATAAAGATGCCAGTTACTCAATCAAGTGAGACATTTTAAAATATAAATTCAGATTAATTTAGGCCTTATAGAAAAAATAAGATTGACATTTTCAAGTCTGTATATTCTGTGGTCTGATGATTTTGATTTCAGGATTCAGCTGAATTCAGAAGAACAGTGGACCAAAGCTTTGAAATTCATGTTAACCAATTTGAAATGGGGACTTGCTTGGGTCTCCTCCCAGTTCAATAGTGATGGTGAAGAAATACAATCAGACAATTGAAGTTATTAGTCCCATAGATGAATTATAAAGTTGTTTCTATAGTATCAGGTTTAAGACTATTTAAAATGTAATATAATATTTTTGTTATTGAAAAAACAGACATTCTTGTAAATAATTGACTTTGTCTTTAAACACTTGTTTTTAATAATTTGAGATTTATATTAACTTGGATCCAGTACCTTCTAGTAGCAGAATCAAAAAGTTCCTCAAGTTATTTTATTACTGATCAAAGAGGATACCTGACCAAAATCAAATTAACCGCCATAGCTAGAATTCATCTGATTGGTCTAAAAATACGTCCCTTCCGAAAGTCATGGCTGTTTGAATTCTTGCCATTGTGACCAATGAAAAGATAAAAACGGTGATAAAAATAAATTTCATCTTCGTCTTCTGCATTTTCCATCTTTTTCGTTGCTGACCGTCAAGTTTGCTAGGTAAATGTCTACTATATTTTCTTCGAATTTTATTTTTTCTCACGAATCTCAAGCCATCAGTGAAAAAATGGAAACTATTCACTCAAATTGCAATCGATATCATGTTCTCATTCTTTTATTTTTATTAATTTTTCAGCCAAACAACCAAAAATGTCTGATGTTGAAGTGTGAGTACCTAACCTAGTTTTTTATATTATTTCTGTTTTAATTATTTTTATGATGATTTTTGGCGGCTCCCTCTTCTGAGGTTACCCAATTTTACAAAAATTGTGCTGATAATCGCCATCTGAACGACAATAACCCACATCCTTCTGATAACCTGTACTTTCCAAATCTGTGTTTTCATATCAGCCTGTTTTCAGTGATGATGCACCCTCGGCCCCAGTCCCATCTGGGGGACCCATGGACGTGAACGAAGCGCTTCAAGGTGTATTGAAGACCGCCTTGATCCACGACGGAGTCGTTCATGGGATACATGAGGCTGCTAAAGCTTTGGACAAAAGGCAGGCTGTGTTGTGCGTGCTAGCTGACAATTGCGATGAACCCATGTACAAGAAACTCGTGCAGGCGCTCTGCTCGGAGCACCAGATCCCCCTCATCAAGGTCGACAACAACAAGAAGTTGGGAGAATGGTCTGGGCTCTGCAAGATTGACAATACAGGGAAGGCACGCAAAGTTGTTGGGTGTTCTTGTGTTGTGATCAGGGTAAGAATTTGGAAGTCCATCTTTAATTTATATAGCTTTTCTACAGTTCAAAACAATATCCATTATACTTGGATTTTGAAACTTGATTTTGTTTTCACTCCAGAAAAAGTTGAAGTGAGGTTTTGGGGACTGGGGGGACTGATTGGGTGACTAGTCACAAGGATATGTTGGGCTGGGTAACAGTTGATGTATCAACTGATATCTGAAGTGAGCATTATGCTCTTTGAATCTTGTATGAATGTTTCCACATGTTTGTCCAATATAACATAATATTATTCATCTCATGAGTACCTGATTTAATATTAAGTTTAAATTTTATCTTCAGGATTGCCTAGAAGCCTAAGAGTGGTATTTTTTGCAGTGAATTTGAATGGAGTATTTTGGGTACATTTTGTATCTGATATTCTTTCAGATTTAGAGCTGTGGATGGCTCAAATCTATTGAGCTTGAACTTGTGAGTTAATTGAAACAAATTCATTTTCACTTGGGAATGAAAACTAATTGAAGGAAACTGTTTATTATGATGATTTTTTTGGCAGGCTCCCTCAACTGAGGTTACCCAAAAATAATTTTGTGCTGATACATGCCATCTGAATTTAATTATCATTGAAACACCTTTTATTTTCACTTTTTCCAGAGTCAATCTTGATTCATTTATTTTCAGGATTATGGCGAAGAATCACCAGCCCTTGATGTCCTTAGGGAATATCTTAAAAATTCGTAACTTGTTAGGTTTTAATGAATAAAAAAACATCATAAATCCCAAGCATTTATTTCATATTATTCCTCTAAAAAACATTCCTAAATTAGAATTAGGGTAAACACTGAGGCTTGTGTTCTGTCCAATGGTCAATTTGACATGTCCTGCTGCAGTACCAAGCCTTATGGCAATGGGAACACCTCTGAATGGCTTCTTTGTCACATTTAATGCATTTTGTTTGACTTTCAGCTCCAAATTTTTCCAAAAGTTCTGTATTGTATGATTCGCTCAACCTAAAAAAGATCTAATTGTTTCTGAGACAGTACTTTTAGAAAAGCTAAAAGAAAACAAATGTTTTTATATTTCTACTAACTTAGTTGCAATATTGGTAAGCAAACTCTTATCAGTTGTAAAAACTGTGGGCAGCTGGTTGGTTGCCATTTTTCTCCACTTTCCACCAGTTTCCTTTAATATACTGTCTTTTATCTCTAAAATGGTCTCGATCAGAAGAGCTTTTGGGGGAGCAGCATTCTGTTCCATCATATTCATCCTGCACAACCAATGGTTTAGCTCCATAAGAGGAGACAATTGGTCCAGCAGAATTGGCTTCATTAACGGTAGTAATTTTGCAAGTTGTTTGCTTCTGTTCTCTGTTAGAGAGTAGTAACTTTGACATTCAGGGTCCAGAAGCAGTTGTCTCAAAGTAAGCCATACCTAAGGAAAACTTTTTTAGACATGTTGATTCAGATCTTGTTTCCCTACTATTCGGGATAGAAAATAAGTGCACGCCACCTATCGGAGTTATTGAAAGTTGTCAAAGCGGCATGTTTACTTTCAATGACGGCTAAATAGTAAATATCAAGTAAGCTGCCGACCTGATCATGACTGCCCATACAGCGGAAATCATGTTTAGGAATCTACTCGTTCCCCGTATCCCGCGACATCTATTGTACAAATTTGAACTGTTTTTATGCTAACCTAGAAATTGAGAGATGTCACTGGTGACAGATTGGTACAGATACCTACATACCTACATTGCCTGCAGCGATGACGGCTTAGCCGTAATTCTGTGGTCAATGCCAAATCCAAATGCACTTTTATGAAGATGTTATGATCATAGGTTATGTTTTTTTAATCTTAGCTGACTCCTAATTTCCTATAATTATTGATTGAAGATTAGACCTAATCTGTGATTAGCATTTGAAGCATGTGTAAACGAGTCGTAAACACTCGCTCGGTAAAATTAAGGAGGCTTGAAGTTGGTGCAAAATTCCATGACATGAGATCATTGTGCTCCGGACGAATTTGTAAAGATTATCTTTTCCTTGCAAGGTAATTAGTTGCTGTGTTTATTTTTGATGGTACAATTTTTGAATTAGTCATTGAACATTTTCATATATTATTCAAGTGTTTTATTTCTAGAGATCATAAATATCAAACACCAACTACCTACTATTGAGTGCCATTGACTACTCACTCATGAAATGATTGAACAATATGGAATAATAACAATGTATTATGCTGTTCCTTGTGAAATTGACGGAAACTGATCATGGGACAACTTCACATCTTGGAAAGGGTGCTCTTCAGTAGTGCACAAACCTTGTGAATACTCTGATTTGAGGTAAGTTATTAGTCTTTCATGAGTGAGTGTATTTAGCAAACTATAATGGTGGCATATTCACCATTTATAGAATTGTAAAAAATAGGTCAGTTCAAGAGATTATAGTTTTATATAATATACATAAATGGTCTGTATTCTTTAGACCATGTGAATGAGGAAGGCCAATAATTTTCCATACTTATAATTATTAAAGAACATTGATATGAATTGGTGAATGCTTGAATCATTGAACAGTGTTCAGAGGGTGAAAGTATGGCAAAGTCAGCTAAATGTTACATTTTCAATTTTCAATATTGTTCATTATGGTTTTTGTGGATATCCTTGATCACTATATCACCATCGTCCACCAATTTGGTGGACGATGCTATCACTAATGTCTTGACTAATGTAGATTCATTTTTAGATCCATTCAACAAACATACAAAAATGTATGTAGCTATAAATAATGTAGATACCTTCCAAACAATAAATACAAGTACCTACTCCAAGTAGAATTCCTCTAATTTCAATTATCTTGATATTTAGGTAAGTTTTGTGAATTTTGTACTAACCAGGGTTAGTTGAAGCAATTATACACAATTCTACTGTTTCTTTCCCCATATATTATTGAAAATCAGAAAATTTTTAGACAGTAAGTAATATCACATTTTTTCAGGATATGAATTCAGATGGTTCACATTTTTCAGAAGCACCCTCCATAAAAAAGGTATAGGATCATTATGCCTCTTCATACCTCTCTAGCTCTCCTGAATTCTTAGATGTTCTTCAAGAGAAACCAACAGGATGTTTGATATACAGGGTACCTTGAAAAGATTGTAGAAAATGTTTTAACAAATTACTTGGACTAGATGAACATTTTCAAAAGTTTCAAATGTTTCAAGATTTTCTTGAATACTGTGAAAACTTGGATGTAGCTATATTGGTATGAACATTTTTAGGTGCATTAAATATGGTAATAAGTAGGTATAGTCTTGTGATGGATGAAAGGATTTTTTTTAGTGAAGAGGTATTTGATCATCCTGTTTTGGTCTCAAAAAGTCATGCTAGCATGTAATTAAGGAGACATCTTGTATAATCTAAATGTTCACCACAAGTCCAATTAAATTTCAAGGCAATGTATATTCAACATAGGTATATAATATTGGTTGTGCATGTATACTCATACATACACATCATTTCATCTAAATTAATGCAGTAAACCAAGCAAGCTTTAGAATTTTCTATATGATTTTCTGTGGTTCAGAACATTTATTATGATTTACCAAGTTCATACTATGATGAGACAAAATGATAAAGATCATCATTACATAATGATAGTTCTGAGACTGAGCCCTTGAAAAATGGAAACTTTGATTATAGACAGAAAAAAATGCTCAGAGCTTAATTGAAATTTTGGAGACTGGATAAAAATTCAGTTCATTCACCGTTTTTTTATTCAAGTATTTTCTTACAAACACAATGATCACAAGAGTATTAGGCTATGGCCTGAGCCCTCAACACTGAAAATTTAAAAAATCCACAAAAATAATATCAGTTACAGAATAGTTATTTGCTTAAATAGTGCAAAAAGTGTGTATTGCAGAAAGTATGAATCTAAACATGCAGTGCAACAAGTATACTTATTGCTAGTGTTATGCAAAAAATAATTATTCTTATAACAATGTTTCTGTATACAGGGTGAGTCATAACTATTGGGACATAGGCTGAGGGCGGATTGTTTGGAACAAAATATGGTGATAGGAACGGTATGCCCTAATAAAATTTTGATGTGGAAAAAGATACAGGGCATTGAAATTGAATATTTTTTCAAGTTCTTTTGCTAATGATTCCACTGTACCACTGTAAGAGTAGGGATAATATACTGTGACTGTACAATGTTTGTTACAGGGCGCCATGTAAATTATTCCTTCTTTTGACGAAACTTCCTAGTGATTTTGAATAAAAAATATGACATAAATATCATTTATATGTAATATTGGTACTCCTGTTTGACAACGGTATTTTCATACGTTTTCGAGAAAAACACAATTGAACAGTATGAAGTCTGGAAAAGGAATTTTAAATATTATTTTATTCATGAATTGTGTGCTTTGGACTGTCATATAATTGTTGCTGGTAAATAACATTTCTTCTCAGTGAATTAATTTTGATGCCAGTTTATATTCAATACTTTTTTGATTGAAACATCCAGTATCTTTTTCCACAGCTATATTTTATGGAGGCATATAAGATTCTATCAGTATATTTTTTCCCAATAGTTATGACACCCTGTATATTAGTCTTTCAAATTTGATGTAGTTTTTTGGTATTGTACTAAAGAATTCATCTTGGAAAAATCTATAGAAAAGTTAGAATATTGATCTCTCCCAAATAGTTACCAGGTCACCAAAAACTTTTTTGGTCACTGAAAGTACAGTAATACAGGAATTCTTCTCGCACAGTTTATCAGTGTTCTGTCAGTTGGCACATCTCAGTATTGTTGAGAATGGGAGCAGATTCGTTCCCAGTACATCAAAAGTAAAAATATAATATTTTTCTTATATATTTGCTCACATATATTTTCAAACAAGGTGTCACTGACTATTTCTAAGGCATTTCTTTTTTTGGCACTCACCAGTGAAATTTTCAGCAACACAATTTGGGACAAATCATCTGATTTGTCTTTATGAATATATTGAAAAAATATTCATATTTTTGTTTATAGAAAAAAGGAGAATCTCAAAAAATCTAGAGAAATGGATCTAGCACACAAATATATGAAACCCTTCAATCTCATTTGAGTATTTTTTAATTGTTCAATATTAATATCTGTACATTAATATTAAAACATCTGTTTTGATCAGATTACCCAGTTATACTACAAATAAATGTGGTCTTACTGAAGAATTAAAATTCTAGCTTGACTAATACAATGGTGTTCTTGAATATTCACTATATCTACTATTTCTAATCATTAAAACTTGAAATTAATGATTATTATTATTACCAACTTATAGGTGATCCATAACTGAGAGTGATGGTGGTGATATAAATCAGGAGGGGTGAAAGGACTTACAGTCACAACTCCTCCACACGAACAATTTAATAATGACCAATGGTCATGTACCAAAGGACTGTTTCAAAGGATTAATCCATCACCATCATCATCATCGAATTTATAAAAAGAAGATCATTGGTGAAAAAAAAATACTTAACACGTTGACTACCAAGCCTGATTTCAACATTCTGACCCAGGGTACCATATGTATCACCGGTGATGCTTTTTCATAGTTCACTTCTGTACTTTATGTATCACCAGTGATAATGAACACATATTATTTGAATGATTGTAGAGAAGCCTAGTGTATAAACGAAGGAATTAGATTGTGGGTATGGTACAGGTATGAACCAAATAATATCGGGTTAAAGTGGGTATCACCAGTGATACACATAGATCTGGAAAATGCCTATAGAAATTGACTGGATTATTCTGATGAAAAGACGCACCGCTCACTCTCTTGTCAATTTTTTATTGAAATTGTGACACTCATATGTAAAAAATAATCTTGTCAATAATCATTGTACAAAGAAAATACTTATGTTTTTTTTTTGAATACAGTCCAAACAGTATGAAGGTTTCTCGGGGCATTCCGCGTATAAGGTGGTAACCAATTTTGTATGTTTTGCTGCCATCTTTGAATTTCTGCGTACTTCGTCTTAATTGTCCATTATTTTCTTATGAAGGTTTGAATGAAGGCGCTTACAATCGAAGAAAAAACAACAAAATATAAGGAGTTCCCTATAATCATATGATGAAATGGTTCATTTATGTACCATGTGAATCACCGGTGATCTTTCAGCAAACTCTATCGAGATGAAGGCATCTGCTTCAAAATACAATATAGCGACATCTTGTAGCGAAAGGCTACGTTTTGAGTTTGATTCTTCACTTGGTACAGAGAGGAAGTATGCGATTTTTTACGGTGGTTTGTAGAGCAAATGAGAGTGTGCATCACATGAGACTCATATGGTAGCCAACGTGTTAAATAACCTAAGACACTGTTTTAAACCGTCCATAGTGTAGGTGGTTAGCTGTTAGGGAACAAACATTATTATAACCAGCTCTATAAGAGCCTAAATTAAAAAAAAATTATGCAAAGAAAATATTGGAAAGCACCAACATGTGAGTCTGAATTTGTTAAATTAGGTAAACTAATATTGAATGTTATATTGCTATTGAATCATTCATATGATATGTTCAGGTTGTTTAGGTCAAATATACTTGAAATGGAACAAAATACCCAAAATACCACTAAAATATTGATGAAATTATAGATATATATTCTGTAATGATGATTGGCTGATTCTCTTAGTATCTTTCTGGATATTTTTATTAGCGACTTTCTGGAGAATAGGTCATGAGAGAATAATTTGATATTCATTATTTCACACATATTTTATGCAGAACTATTGATATGTATTTAATTCTAGGGGACATATCCTGACCAAATCGCTTTCAAGAATGAAAGATGATGGTAAATAGTAATGGGAGAAACCTACTAGCAACTAGGCCCTCATGGGGCTTCTTTGGCTACTTGACCTGAGTAAACCCACCACCAAGAATTCACAAAAATCCTACAATCCCTATTCTAACTATAGACCCACAGATTCAAACTAGAGACTTATGGAGAGAAACATGCTTGGATCATTGGTCAAGCGCCTCACTCGGCAATGTCACTATCAAGGTGATGAAAGTGTTCATGAATTATCCAGGGACGTCAAGAGTGGAGAATATGATCCCTTGGAGGACAAAAATCCCACAATGGGAGTTAAGAAACTTATATTTGGCTTCCTTAAGGCAAATCTAATCATAGAGAGCTTCATAATCTGTGATTGGAAATTTATTTAAGTTGATACTAATTTTTTTTGCAGTCCACCAAAAATTCTAGATCCCTCGCCCTCCGCCAATGCAAAATGAGGAATTCCTATAAAATGTTGCAATAACATATTGAAACAAATTTTGTAATCTTTCGAAAATTTGTAACTAAAAATTTCACAAAAATAATCATCCAATTCATTCATGCCTAGTACCTCACTATACATACAATTCAGGGTGTCCTAATGAAAAGTAGCCCACAGGAACTAGTCTCCATCACAATGGAAGAATAAACTATCGATTTTTGCAGACAGATCACTCTGCATTTTATTACATATAATGTTACATTTCCAGCACCATCCACTATAGGAATGGAAGATCTAAATAGTCAGTATCTATTGGTAACTTTATAACTTATTCAACATGGAACATTGTTTCATGCCACTACAAGTAATGTATTGTATGTATTATGAGTGTACAAATTTAAAGGGCCAGTTTTTGCATCATACCTGTATAACCATAATATTTCATTTTTGTCATAACCACACTACATATTGAAAATTTCATGGAAGGAACAATAAATTGATATTGAAAACAGTACATTTTTTAATCCTTAATTTGAATGTCAAATGTTCATGCACTGTTTGGGCCATTCCATTGCTAATAGGCAGATGATGTCTTTTGTTGAAACAAATTTTTAGATATTCCACTGCTAGTGTGAAACAAAACAAAATTCCAATTACCACTAGGGAGAGATTGTTTGATTCTTCAAAAACTTCTTCGAATTTGCTCCTTTCATGTACCTGAACCTGAGAAAGAAAAATTATAAGTTATTCAGGGAAAAAACACTTGAATGTTATCAAACCAAAATAATATTCATGAAGATATTTGTATGAATATGTAGGTAGGTACCATGTGGGTATATGTATAATCTGAGATACCTTATTCATACATATATACTCCTTACCAATAGTAATTTTTTTGAATAAATTGATAGATCAAAAGGCCACTGTTTTTTTTTCATCTGGTTATCTGAATTACTCTACTATATCTTCAGAACATATTATACTTCAACTGGAAGTGAGTACAGTATTCAGTGAGAAAAAGAAATGAGTTCATGGTCAATAAATTGAGTTTTTTTTTGTTATAAAGTATAAACAGAATATATATATAATATACAGACTGACTGACAAAAAAGCCCAAAACCACCCTTGTTTATATTTCCAAATTAAATAAATGAAAAAGAATCAGAATGATCCCTGGATTTTTTTGTAAACCTGTAAAAACATCTTGAATAAAGGGCAAAAATGTAAATCATCAATTTGCCATATCCTGATGATTTATATAATCAATTCCCAATGTTAGACTTGCTCAGATTGGTTGAGAGTTGAATTATGTTCATGAAAACTATTAATCTGGAGTCACTATAGGTGTTAGGTACTTACATTTGAGAACACCCAATCTGTAGTTTAGAATGTTTTTCCAGTGGATGTAGTGGGCATCATCCAGGAATCTGCAAGTTGCTGAAACTTATTTTAAACATCAATATTTTGTTTCACAAATACTATTGCCAACAGATTATCAATTCATAAACATGAGAATCTATGACATGAGTATTTTTTGGCTTGAATGCATTTGCTGATTCATAGATACTGAAACTAGTGATGGTGAGAACACATTCAAAATTTGAAGATGAGAGATTGAATCAATGCACATTGATTTATATTGGACTGAGGTTCACACTGTATAGAGAGCAAAGATAAAAGTAGGAAAATCAAAAACTACAATACCTCCTTTCAGTTGGGTATACTATTTGTTCATTCAACACTAGGAAATAAAAGTGTTACATACCTCAAATATTGTAGGAACAGAGAGCCTTTTATTAGGCACTTCCTGCCATACTGGAAAACTCATAATATGCAGCTCTTCTGGAAATGATTTGTGCAAATGCAATAATATTCACCAACTTCAGAATGTTCTAATGCTGAAATAAATGAGTCAAATGAACAATATCATTTAAATAGGTCAGAGGTACATCTACAGAACTGTTCTTACCCATTCATTCCAAAATTGCAGAAAACGATTCTGTCCACAAACTGATGTCACTGGGAAATCCAAACAAATTGATTGCATCCCAACCAATATAATAATACGAAAAAAAATGCAAAATAAGAATTATCAATGAAATTACAAGATTAGCTCAGCAGTGAAAGGCAAATGACAACATGTTTTGATTGTTTTGACATTTCATGAGATACATAACCAATAATTTAAAAAATTCTCAAAAACAAATGAAATCTTTGAGATCACCCGTATGTGCTGCCATCCCAGCAATCATACACTGAACTTAGTGATTGGGCAGTCATGACATAGTCGGCAGCTTACTTGATATTCAGCCGTCATTGTTTACTTTGGTTTTATTGGTTCACATTTGTTTTTTGTTTCTGCTCATTGGTGATATCATCAAAACAAACCGCTCAAGAAGTGTTCAAGTTATTGCCGTCAGGTGGAGCGACGTATTATATTTTCTATCGCGAATAACAGGTAGGGGTAGGTACTTGAAAAAGTATTTTGGGCTAGTCTTTATACCGACAATGGCCGTGGCATTGCCATAGTGTACTTTTGTGACATACCACTAAAGACATATAGAAATTTCTGACCTGAGCCTCACACTGTCCTAATTGTTCATTGTCCCAATCTTTCCAAGATCCCCCTGAATAAAGCTTTCCATCCTTTGCCCAAGGTTTAGCCAACATGATCTCAGTAAACAGCACGGGTATATCATACTCCGTGTAAATCTTTGAGCGAATACTGACAGGCAGCCTACAATAAACAATTTTGCTAGCTAAATTGATTACTGCTGGCGTTTTAAGACATACGATTCGAGGTTTTCACAGATGTATCTTGTGATGGACAAGGATCTTATCCCGATATCGAAAGTTAAGTTGTTTTTCTGCCTACTGATTTCTTCAGAAGCACTTTCATTTCTACCAGGCTCGGTTGATTTGACCGATAGCAACTGAGACACGTTACTAGTCGCGTATTCCAGCAAATCGCCAGCGGTGTCTTCCAGGGCTTCACAGCAGTTTGGGTGGTAGAGAACGAGTTCTAGTAGAGCAACACAAACTGCCTCATGGTATAAAATGGAGTAGACTATGAAAGTGCTTTCAGGGCACGGTTCCAGGCTGGTAAGAATAGGTAGGACTTTGTATTTCCAAATGTTTATGAGTATAGCTTCATGAGTCAAGATGTTCAGCTACAACAAAATGTTCAATGTTTTCTAGAATTGCTACCTGCTACTTGTATACGCATGTTTTACTTTGCCGAAAGTGACCAAGGATTCTTTTACATGTTCCTCTTTCAAGAGTGATGCTTCGATTAGGGCTTCTTGATTCAGTTTCTGCAATCTATGATGCCAGTCGAACCAACTAAAACGAATTTTGTGAAAACACTGTTTTTTTTAGATTAATATGGAGTAAATATTCAACTGTATGGTGCCAAGATCCTTCATTTTTTGAGGCTTCATAGTGTCAATGTAGGTTTCAATTTCGGAGGGCAATAATATACTATCCATTTTTTTTAATAACCGTTTCACTACTATATTGAATCCTTATATTGATCAAACATCAAAATTGAGAGGATTTTGAACTTTTTGAAGCTTCAATAAATAGTTGCTCTGGTAACTGATATTAAATTGATTTATTTTTCTAACACGGTGGGAGTGAGCATAAATGAAGCAAGCAGTTCTAAATTTGAAGGCATCTTAACTTGATTTTTTGAACGATTTAGGTAGGTATTTATTATGAATTCAAAAAATACAATTTGAATTTTGGGAAGAATAGATCTACTTGCTTCTTCTCAGGATTATCTTCTTGTCTTGTTTTTCTAACGACTTGCAGGATTCCAACATTAGATAGATGCCAATGAGCAAAGGCTATCGATAAGAGTACTAGGTTACTAAAATCAGAAGAAGTAGACGATTTATTGACATGCATTTGTTAGGTTAAGTAGGAGGGTCGCGAAAATTGAAAATGTCATTAATTTAAATTTTATGTTTTAAATATTCAATTATTATATTGCTGTGATGGCAGAAGCTTCAATCCAAGAGGGCTTTTTGTGTCCAATTTGTCACAAAGATTTACGTTCAGCTAACAATTTGATAACCCACTTTCAAGACTTGCATTCTGAAGAAAAGGATATATTGAGATCAATTAAAGGTAAATCAGATTATAAATACTTATTTCCATATGATTTCAGCCCATAAATTTTGTAGATATTTATGGAAAAGTAAAAAAGAAAATACTCACCTTAGACGACCAAGATCTTGAATCATTCAAAACAGAAATTTCCTTTGAAAAAGAAAAATACTACTTAGAATACAGTGAACCACAGGAACCAGGCCTTACCCAGTCACACACTGACTATTTCAAATCTGTAAGAAGGGACCGCTTAGATCATAGAACTGCAGAAACCAATAAACTTATTATAAGGTTAGATAGACTGCTGAGAGTATATGGTGCTGATAGAAAACAACATGAACAAGAACTTGTAGCTTGGTTAGATGGTACCACTGTGACCAGATGCCCTTCTTGTGCATCTTCTTTCAACATCACAAGGAGACAACACCACTGTAGGCTATGTGGCAGCATAATGTGCAGTTCCTGTTCATATTTTCTTTCATATGAAACTGCCAGTAAGTAAAATAATTGGTCTCAGTAAAGCATGAGTACCAGATGACTTTTCTTCCTAGTGACAATAGTGGCACAAGTTAATAATGTGAGCAGTAGGGATGGAGGTTCAGCCAAGGAAATGGAAAGCTTGAGGATATGTTATCATTGCTTAGAGATGCTTGAAAGTAGGAGAAGAGTTCAGATTGAACAAGTTATACAGCCAATAATATGCCAGCTCTATATGCATTTGCAGAATAACAAGTCACAAGCTCATAATTCTGTTGAAATGTATAATAAGGTAATTATTCTAATTTTTGTTGCTCTAAATTGTTTTTGTTTTTTTCCTGGATATTTGCAACTAATTGAAGAAGTGATCTTGATTTTTGTCTCACATTGGCTCATTTTAAATAATACCACTTGATTGATTGTTTTTATTACCCCAAGAAACATATCTGTTTATAATAGGGATACATGAACACATAAAAAATAATAATATTCACTAATGAATTCCACTCAGTGGAACAAATTCATACTTTTTCTTTAGATGAAAGTTATAACATTTCATTTCCATTCTGAGTAATCAAATCATGTCAAATATTCTTCAATAAAATTGTCCTGTTGTTTAAGATTGACTTCAAATCTTCTAACATCATATATATTTGTTATAATTCATTAGGTCATGAATTGTATAAAATTATTCTATTATGAAATATAAATTGCTTGCCAATATTCTACTTGAATGTATTTGCTATCAAATTATTCAATTGTCTAGTCCCATAAGTATGGACTGAATTGACCTAATTAAAAGCTAAGTTTGATATTTTGAATTTATTCCTGACAAAATGAATAAAACAACATATTTCTTTAACAAAATCAGATTTAGAAATTTTTTAGGTTTGTATAAATTTACTGTTCTAGAAAATTTTGATGAAAAATGCACTTAATTGATTTGTTTTGTAATTAAATTCCCTTTTTAGATGTATAATTCACTTGTTTCTGGTGAAATGACCTACTTACTTCAAGACCTACAATCCCTTAGAACTGTTATTGCAGACAAAGCTCAAATGATAGACACCCTGAGCAAAAAAATAACTTCATTGCCTGTAGAGGAGGAAACACCAAAAGCAGCTATCCTGCATAACAATATCAGGAAAGCTACTTCTGCATACATAAAAGACCATCTCCTCACATTACCAGCACCCCCTAGTAAGGAGGAAATTGAAAAAATGAAAGGTGAACGCTCAGCCAAGCTGAATAGAGAGGATGACATCATATCAGTTCCCAGAACAACTATTAAAAAGGTTGCTGTGGCCACTGGATGGTCCCCAGCTAATGTCCCAAATCAGGATGCAGTGATTGAAGATGATCCTCTTTTAGCACAAATGAATATTGTGAGGGGTTATATTGAACAAGCTAGAGATGCACAGAGATTTGAGGAGATTGCTTCTCTCAGAGACAATTTGAATATGTTGAAAGAGATGTATCAGCAACAGCAGACTGAGAAAAACAGTGCAATAAGTTGATCAACTGATTTTTTTGTTTAATGCATTCCACTTGAAACTATATTCATTAGGTAGGTACTCATATTTCTTATACATAGGAAATATTTTTTTTAATTTCCTGTTTGGGGCTTTTATCTAGTCAATAAATCATCCAGCTTATTTTATGTCTTCATTTTATCAAACTAATTAGTGTAACATTTTTCTTCAGAAATGTAATACAAGACAAAAAAAGGTTCAGGTTCATTTTATATTCATGATGATATTTCCTAATAATATGAACATGCATTGCTTATGTGAAGAAACAACTGTAAAAAAATGACCGCCAATAGATGAGCGCAAAAAAACGTGAATTGAAAACTTTATGAAAAAATCAAAATAACGTGAAATTGATCCTAATATTTTTTTTTCTTGATATCTTTCCACCATTTTCTTCTGTTATGAAAGTTTGAGAGAATTATTAATTACAATGTCATAAGTAGGCTTTGAAAATCAATCACAAATAACAGCAAGGTGACAGTAACCTTAAAAATGGAGTTGAAAAGACTAAAATCCAATGTAATAGACAAATTGAGAAGTTCTTTCTCAATAAACACAGTTTCACAGTGTGTAACAGAACTAGTCAGTATCTGATTCTCTGTAATTTCGTGTCATCAATTATAAATTTCCAGGTTTTAAACAGCTTAGATGCAAAATCTACAGCCATAGCAATAAGGCTAAACTTAGTGTCTTTTAAAATCCAAGTAGTGGACAACGGAGATGGTATCCTTGAGGAAAATATGCCCCTTTTGGGTTTGAGATACTTCACTAATAAGTGTAAGAGTCTGGAAGAGTTGGAAAAGTATGTAAGTCACTATGGTTTCCGAGGGGAAGCTATAGCAAGCATAGTGGCGTGCTCAAAATCCGTCAATATCACATCCAGGCATCTGAATACAGGTAACACCTACAGTAGAACATTGGGGAAACACTCCAGTGTTGAAGTGAGCAGAACCAAATCACGGCCAAGCGTTGGCACTACAGTTACGATTGAAGGTTTTTTTCACAATCTGCCAGTCAGAAGAAAACGGATAATACCCGAGTTAGAGCTAGATGAGATAAAAAGGGGGATTGAAAGTTTGATCATATTACATCCGAAAGTGACGTTCTCGGTTAGGAATGATGTCACTTGCGAGCTCATTTTGAATAGCCAAAAAAGTCAGGACTTGATATCATCTTTCAAACATTTACATCCCAACTTGGGCGATGATTTCAATTTAATGAAAATATCTAAAAACCAACTAACAATCGATGCTTTGATCTATAAAACTATGTCGGAAAATAAGAACCTTCAGTATATTTACGTGAATAAGAGGCCTATATTCTCTTCAAAAATACAAAAATTAGTGGGCAGTTTATTCAAGAAAAATAAAAAAAATGATAGGAAAAATCCAGTAGCTGCTTTAACCAAGTATCCTGTTTATGTGATTAATATAAAATGTCCAATATCAAAAGTTGATGTCTTGTTCAATCCCACGAAAACCATGGTGGTATTTGAAAATTGGGATATCATACATCGTTGTATCAATAAATTGATTGATTCATTTTTTGGTAAAGACAGTAACATGAAGAAAAAAGAAAAATTTCTCAGTGAAGAAGAATTCAAAAAAGATTGTGGAGTGTCTCAAATAGTTGGGGCTTATAGAAGATTTGGTTACAAAAGAAAAAATGTAGATGAGAATAATGAAATGGAAAAAACGGAAAACGATGATGTCATAGCAACACAAATACCAGAAAATGTTCAGGAAAAAACTTCTAGGAATAATAAACCAGTATTGGAAATAGAAAATAATCCAAAAGTTACTAGTGAACATCAATTTGATTATGGTGACAGTCTTAATATTAGTGAGGCAACTTCTTTCCAAGGAGATTTCAGAAATAAAAAGAAATTTAAAAAACCCCTGCCCATAACAGTAAGCAGAGCCAAAATAGCGAAAAATCAAATGACTAAAAACGATGATATTTTGCCTGAGAAGCAAGATGATATAAAATCAAGTATTTCAAAATTCACAGATGATCAAAATAAAGGAAAAAATCTCATAATGGACATGTTTCTGAAATCCACTCAAATTTATAGCAGTGATGAAAATCAAGACAAGATGGGTGGAAGCCAAGAAACAATTTATGAAGAAGAATCGAATTTTCAGATGGAAAATAATTACCAGACCAAATTTAAGGGTATGAGCAATACTATGTCTGTTTCTGTCAATGTAAAAAGCACTAGAAAAATCAGGAAAAGAAAGAAACAACAAGAGAATCCCTCTAAATATGTTCAGACCTATAAAGTAGCTAAAACAATTGTTTCTAAAGCTGTACAGACCAGCATTAATGAAAAATATAAGAAAAAGGTGAGAAAACATAGATCAAAGGGTATCAAATTTGCTATGAATCCAGAGAATTATACTGTCGTGCTTTCTGAGATTGGAAAAAAATCGCATTTCAAATTTGTCACCAAAAAGGCTCAAGAAAATGATGTGGACCCCAACATCCAATTCAATATCTCCCAAAAATGTCACTGCAATTGTCACAAAGGTGATAACAAACTTTTCGATTTCAAAGAACAATCAATTAGTGATAGTTTGTTGAATGAAAATATCAAACTTCCCAAGATCGATTCACATATGGACCAATTATTGAAAAAAAAGAAATTTGAAAATCTTATCAAGTATCACCACCCAGTGAATCAATACCTAGGACCAAACAGAGGCACCTTTGAAAATTGTAATTTCAATGTTGTAAGAAAAGAGAAAACATTTCAGAATTATGAAAGAAGTCCGTATTTCGCGCCAAAAACATATTTAGATAACAATTTAGTTTGCTATCACCAGCATCCTCACTACCCTATCGGATATTTCAACACTGTTCATGAACCTTATATACCAGTACCTTATTTGAATCTACATCCTGTTGAATTGAACAGAAATTTTCGGACACGTAATACCGCTGAACATGACCAACCTCCATTTAATAATGTTTTTCAAAATAATCCCATTCTCATGGAAAACAAAAAACATTTTTATAAAGAGGAGGTATCGAAAATTAACGACCCTAATGACTGGACTGTCGGCACATTTGGTCAGTTCAAACCGGTCCATTTGAGTACACAAAAAGATAAAAAAAATAATGATTGGAGAAATAGTTCTTTCAAACAGTTTGAACCTTTTCATTTGAATAAAGAAAAGGAATGGACAATCAATTCCTTTGGACAATTTCAACCTTCTTTATTTAGTACACAAAAAAACGAGAAAACTGATATGCTGTTCACACCATCTCCTGTAGAACATTGCAATCCACCCATAGAAACTTCAATAAATTTATTGAACGATTCTCAAGAGAATCATCAAGAGGTTATCGAAATTTTGGATTCAAATAGTGAAGATATTGAAAAAGGACCTGAAGAAATAAAAGATGGGACTGTATCAAAGCTTAATGATCACTCCAAACTCATTTCTCTGAGCAAACAACGGACTCAAGAAATTTTGGATAAAGAATTGGAAGGTGAAAAAAGTTTGTTAGCGAAAGAATTTCTGAATTGGGATAGTCAGTTCACGCAAGACTTTGGAAATGACTGGCTCAAAAAATTCAACAAATGTGGAAACTGCTACTACATGAACAAAAAGACAGGGTTCACCACATTTCAGACCCCTGAACTTGGCAAGAAACAGCAGTTCAAGTTTGGTAAAAGATTCGATTTTTTGCCAAAAGGAATGTCCCCAATTTTAACAGAAACTAAACAAGTTGATAAGTCTTTGAGTCAAAATGGCAAAGATAAACTTTTAGAATACATAATGGAGACCTATAAAAATGAGCTGCTTTATATCAAATGGCAACACTACTTGAGTGATGTTGGTATGTTATATGAGTTTTTCTTTGTAGATTCTGAACTTTCAAAATTGTTTTTTTTTTATAGATCCAGAAACATTTTTCAAAAATATTTACAAAGAGAAACTCAAAATGTTTGAAGGGTGTATTCCAGATATCAGTACCAGTAAGAAAAAGAATAATATCAACAATGTAATAAGTTTCAATAAAGAGTTATTTGAAAATATAGAAGTGATAGGTCAACTTGACAAAAAGTTCATTGTTGTGTTGGACAAGAAATCAAATCTGCTAGTCCTTTTTGATCAGCATGCAGTTCATGAGAGAATCCGCTTAGAGGAACTGTTGAAAAGTTAGTTGGATTTTGATTTTCTTGTGACTGTACAATTTTGATTTTTTTCTTCCAGAATATGATGGTGCAAAGTCAGAGTGTGATGAAAAATTGGTATTTTTCGTTCCGCAAAATGATTTGTCCTTGCTGCAAAATCATGAATCATACTTGGATTATCTAGGAATTTCTATGGAGATTTTCGGAAATGGTGTTAACATTTCAGCTGTGCCCCTTTGTTTGTTCTCGAAATTCAAAGATAATGTATGATTCTGTGAATAATTTACTTATATAAAAAGATATGCTCTATATTAGAAAATTCAAGTTGTATGCAATGGTTTGAGTTTTTTGCAGAATTTTTCAGATACATTGAATAAAATGATGCAACTGCTAATCAAAGAAATAATTGAGCATCTCAAATCTACAAGAGGTGTCCATTTGAAGTCCCTGCCAAAACTGTTACAGAATGTTGTTAATTTGGAAGCTTGTAGAGGTGACATCATTCAAAACTTTGATTCTAATCAATGTACAATCAATCAAAAATTATTTTAGGTGCCATTAAGTTTGGAGATAGTTTGAGTAAAGAGAGATGTAGAAAACTCCTAGTACAATTATCATCCTGTGATTTGCCTTTTCAATGTGCTCATGGGAGACCAACAATTGCCCCTTTGATTGTGCTGGAGTTGAATGAAAAAATCGTAAGATTCTTCTAATAGGAAGATATCAATGTTTTATTGTTTTTATTTATTTTAGGGTCATTCCAAACCAAATTTCTTGAAACTGAAATGAAGAAGTTAGGAATACAAGGAATGAATAAATGATAATTGTATTTTGTAAACAGAAAACCTACCTAGAATTATGTAGAAATTGGAATTTATATTATTTTCAAGTGAAATACGTAGATTGAGCATATTAAGTATTTGTTATTAAACCATTATATACAATTTATAATGTAGTAACATGCTAATTTTCCTGATATTTTGTATACTACCCTTGATTATTAATAATCTATTTGCGATACCTACTCTCTGGAGTCCAAACTTGTGTTGTGGTTGTGACTTGTGAGCTCGTCTTGTGTCGCTTGTGAGGACTTTGGAAAAGCGGGGTCCCATGATCTTGTCCCGGGGTCTCAACTTTGTCAGGAACGACTGGAACGAGAGACATTTTGTTTCTTCTTTTTTTATCGTTTTAATAATTTGTTCCTTGGCTAATCCTTGGCCAATGGGGAAAATTAACTTCACTTTTTACATGAAGTTTGGCAACACTGATCCAAATTGACAATATTGACATTATTGACATTGACAGAATAATGAATAACTAACAAACTAACTGACAAATTAGAAAAAAAATCTTTCAGAAAGCCAAACAAGCGTTGTGGTTGGGCGCGAAGAAAGTGGTCGTAAAATTACATTTTTCGCACATCCTCAACAAGGTAATAATCGTTTTTGTTATTCAGTATCATTCGCATAATCTTGTTAGCCCAAAATCATCCTCATCCGGCTACCCAAACAATTTGCATCTACCGCCATTCTTGCTTTGTTCTTGTGTTCTGCACGTGTTGAACGATGCCGGCTGAACATCCGCATTTTTCGTTGCAGAACAACGAATCAAACAAAATGGAGACCATGGAAGTCGCACCGACCATCAACAATCACGTTAGCAAAGACTGCAAAGAAGAAAAAATGGAAGACGTTCCTGCCGACGAGATGACTTCCAGAGACTACTACTTCGATTCCTACGCCCATTTCGGCATCCACGAAGAAATGTTGAAAGACGAAGTGAGGACTCTTACCTACAGGAACTCCATGTACCACAATAAACATTTGTTCGCCGGCAAAGTGGTCATGGACATTGGCTGTGGCACTGGAATCTTGAGCATGTTTGCTGCTAAAGCTGGAGCCAAGAAAGTGTTAGCTGTTGAGTGCTCGAATATCGTCGACTATGCCAGACAGATCATTGAAACCAACAATCTGGACCACATCATCACCATTGTCAAAGGCAAAGTTGAGGAAATTGAGCTCCCTGATGGTATTGAGAAGGTTGACATCATCATTTCTGAGTGGATGGGATACTGTTTGTTCTATGAGAGCATGCTGGATACCGTGCTCTTTGCCCGAGACAAGTGGCTAGAACCTGATGGTCTCCTCTTCCCAGACCGCTGCTCCCTCTTCATCACAGCCATAGAAGATCGTCAGTACAAGGATGAGAAAATCAACTGGTGGGATGATGTATATGGTTTTGATATGAGCTCAATTCGAAAGGTAGCTATCAGTGAACCCCTTGTGGATGTAGTGGACCCTAAACAAGTTGTAACTGGTCCAGCTTTGGTCAAAGAAGTGGATTTGTATACAGTGAAGAAGGAAGATCTGGACTTCCATGCTCCCTTCACTCTAACAGTTAGACGTAATGATTATGTCCAAGCCTTAGTGACTTATTTTACTGTGGAATTCACAAAATGTCACAAACGTATAGGGTTCACAACAGCACCTGATGCTCCTTACACCCACTGGAAGCAGACTGTTTTTTATTTTGAGGATTACATGACTGTCAAGAAGAATGAAGAGATAAATGGGGTGTTTACAATGAAGCCTAACCCAAGGAACAACAGAGATCTTGATTTCTCCATTGAATTGAATTTCAAAGGTGAACTAGGAGAGGTGCATGAAACTAATAGGTACCGCATGCGTTAGTCTGATTTAAGTCAATGTGTGCTATTAAGTGCTTAGATTTTTAGCCCTCAATTTCCTACTCACTTTGAAGCTAGTCTGAGTTTTTTATACCATTTAAATTTGACTAGTAGCATACAGGTAATTTGTCTTACCATTTGACATGACTCTGTGAAAACATTTACTTGAGATCTAATGCTTTCCATCAGGATTATTGTATTCAATTTCTCAAGGTAGCAGTTAAGGATCTGTCATTTTTTAGGTTGATTTCTGATGATCTGTGAAATAACTTTTATTTATTTTGTAAGATCCAAAGTAATTGATTGTATGATATTCAATAAATTTATAATTTTATTGATGATTATTTGTCTGGAGAATCCACCCTGAACAAATTCAGTGATTTAACATCCTGTCTGTTTTTTTTTACACAATAACAAGACACAAAATTATATGATGCAAATATGATATGAAATATATGGGTATAAAAAATAATAATAAAGAAATAATGTATGGATTGGAAAAAAGATCATTTGAGATGTAGGTACATTATTTTAGTAGAATAATAAAAGAGGTGATAAAGCTTTTAAACATAATATCCTAATACATGTCTTCTATATAGGTCATAGCATCTTTGCCATCTCTATGGTGGGTGGTCCATAAAATTTTTTTTGGTTTATCCCCTCTATTCAATTATAGAATACTAAATTTAATACTACCAAGGTGCACAGGAAAGACAATACACTGATATTTAATTTATTTCCAGTCATTGTATTGATTAAAGCTGATATTATTTCTTGAAAATAACTTTTGGAAACACTATTACACTGTGCTATTACAAAGCTCGTCCGACCTATTGAATCCGCCATTTTGAATTTTTTAATAATGATGGTTGATGGAGGAATCACAATCTCCGACCACAAAAACCCTCAGATACCAGTTTTAAATAGAATCGGATCATAATTAATAAACTCTGTATGCTGTATTGGATCTGACATCTTAAATTTCCAAAATTTAATGTCAATCCGCCATCTTGAATTTTCTAATTATAAGCTCTCTACTGTGTTATGACGGAGGAATCATAATCTCCGACTTTAAATATAGAATCGGGTCATAATTAATAAAAAAAAGAAAATGATTCATTTTGAGCAACTTTGGTTCTCAGACTTACTTTCATATGTACCGTTTTCGCATGAAAAAATGAAAACAAAATTCATTGATTATATTTGATATTTTGTTAAAAATCTAGTAGGCACCCGCTATGAATGAAAACACATTTCGTAATTATTTTCTTCACTTTTACCAGTGATGTTCATGTATTTAAAAAAACTGCAAGTCTCTGACACCAGTGAGGTGATGTTTTCAATATCAAGGTTGGTAGAACCACGTAGAACCCATAGAACGAATGTCGGCTAAATGAAAAAGGAATCTAGTCAGCTCTGGCACAGCCGTCTAAGTTGAAGAGACGGCTGTGGCTCTGGCCAGACTTGATTTCATGATTTCTTTCTCATTTTGCCGGTAATGGTAGAACTGATGCAAAATTTCAATTTTCAAACAGATTTTAGCGCAATTGTGTAAATTTCATGGAGTTGATTATTAACTCATTTGTAATTTCCGCGAGGCTTCCAATTCATCGGATGCATTTCAGTTCATTGTTTATTTGTATGTGTTCATAGTGAGTCAAGTTAGTGGTTTCTTTACAAACTTTTCTGAATAATGTTTAGTAAAAAGAAATGTTCCTGTTTGCAGAGGAAAGATAGTCATCCTAATTCATAGGTAAGTTTGAAATTAATTGCATACTGGTAAGAAATGAAAATAAAAAGTAAAATAGGAATAATATATTTCCAATAGACATATAAAATAACACAAATGATGACTGACTATCAATATCTGGATTAGGTTTTGGGGGGTAATTGCCTTCTTTACCTCTCCCTGGACCAGCAACCGAAAAATACACTATATTGGCATATTCCATCAGCCACTTTCTGCCCCTTTAGAGCTGAAAAGTACCTCTCATTCTCATGCTACAATCATTTTTAGAAACCCTGTACTAGTATGGATGAATATTTTAAACTCTGGAGAATGCCTGCTTTTGTGACTTATAATCACTCCTCAATTGAATGAAACTCTGTAGTACCATCCTGTCCAATCTCCCCTGCAAGAAAACACAAACTTTTGGTCACCACATTATTGATAGAGCAATTACAAATCCGTTTTGCCCAAACATGCTCTGATTGGTCTATAGGAATCGCCTATGCATAGGTTTGGGTAAAACAGATTCGTGCAGACAGATGGGGAAGATATTTTTTTCTCTCTCAATGATAGCAGATCTGCACTAATGAAAATATATTGGTGAACTTACTAAGGAATCTTCAGAACACACTTGTGGAAGATTTTCAGGTTTAACAAGCAACAGGTTACAAAGGGCATGTAGGGTTTCAAACAGATCTGTAACATGGGGACCCATGGATTTCATACAAGCGCGGTATTCGTTGAGGTCACATATTACCACCATGGCACCTTGAAAAGATCAATAAGGTAAAACAACAAGCTTCTAGCTAGACCAGCGAATCTTTCAAACATTGAAGTCAAGTGATGTCACCCGCAACATATGATATTTCTTCCTTCTTCTAGCCTCCTGAGATCAGTCACCGGCTTGTGGTAAAACAGTTTTTTTTATGAAAATGTTTGCTCTGGTGAGATCCTTTCTGATGTTCAACACATATTTATGAATATTTATCGAGAAAAAGGAAAAATATATTTTACAGTGTTTCTACCTCAAGGATCTCTAATAAAGAGATTGATCAAGATTGACAAGTCTGACTCAAAGTAACAAATTTGTGGAAATCTTATCGTTTGTGAAGTTTTTACATTTGAACAAGATATTATTCCATGAATGTTTTAAAGAATAATGTTACCTGCAGTATTATACTGAAATTGCAAGATATGATCATAAATAACTTTATGCAATTTTATGCCCAACTCTTCAAGAACCTGAGTAACTTTGTTTCCATCCAGATTGGACCGAATTTCTTTTATGACAGCATTGAGATAGTTTAAAACTGCTCTGCAAGCCTAGAAGTAAAGAAATGTTGGTTACATTCAATGATATTAAGGGTTCAAAGTATTGAAACTCACTGGAGATGAGACTGTATCAAAATCATCTGTTTCTGGTTTGAAATCACTTTTTTTCTGTTCTGATTGGAGATATACTCTTACCCAGGTAGATATGGCATTTATACATCTGATAAATAGAATTGAATTATTATAATAATGAAACTCTGCTGTTTTATCCAATTGAAAAAAAAAGTGAATTTTTTTATAATTCATGGAAGCATATAAAAATCATCATTTTCAATGAACTGAGCGATTTTTCCTGAATTCAGCATTGTCTTTTTAATTTTTTTCTTCAGAACAACTAACATGATTTGCATGGCAGTCCCAACACATATTTTCAAACAAAAAGTTACTCATATAAACTTGGAACATTGTTGAATTTGAGCAAATATTTCTTTATGATTCAGAGTATGTCAAAAAAATTTGATACTTGAATCAGTTTGTAATATTCATCAAATCAATTTGAGCAAACTTATTGTTTTTTAGTTTTAGTAATCTGATGCAAAATGTGAAGTAGCTTACAGTAGTTTATGAAAAGTAATAATGTTGATATAGTTACTAACCTGTCTTGTCCGGTTTTAATTTTTCTTTCAATATCATCTAGAACCATCTTTTTCTTTTGTAAACATTCATTATACTTTGGTGTATTCCTGAAATGAACAAATATTGAACATGAAATTCGAATTTTTCATTACAAAACACAAAACAACATGCCAAATTGAAAAAAAAATCAAACCAGAATATACATTCAAGTTGGAAAATGCTGGATTGATACTAATTTCATCAATTTTTAATAAAACCAATTTTTTGACCTACTCTGCCATGGGTACAACCAAGTCAGTAAACTGTTTTTCTATCAGGTGTAAGATATTGTTGCTCAGGTGTATCACTTTGAAAAAATACAGAACAGGGGAGCTCTTAGACCCCTCCACGGGTATAGCCTGGAGCCCCAGTTCCACAGCATAGTCCACATGCTCAATCAACAGACTGTTTATCAACCTGTCCAAAATTTGGGCGGCATTTGATGCTCTATCTTTTGGTCTAGATAACTGAGGAAAAACATATTCTTGTGATGTGAGAAGATGAATGAATGATTTCTTAATGATTACCAGTTGGCAACGTTGAAAGGCATGTTTGGTATCCTGGAGCACCATCACAGCTAATTCTTCTGATAAAAAGGTTTCCCCACCATAATTTTCTATTTGAGCAATATTGATGTTTGCTCTAGTTCCTATAACTGCCTGTAAGTCTCTACGAAGATCTTGAAAACTACAAAGCAAATATTGTTTTTATTTTTTTGTCTGTTGAAAATTGAGAATAATTCAGATAGTTACCCCCCTGACTGTATGGGTTTTTTCTGATGGTTTTTGGATTCATAGTACTTTTGTAAATTGGTGACACAACGCTCTTTCAAGCATTTTGTTTCAATCCTAGAAACTATACCTATAAAATTCATATGTTTGGTCATAACTTGTGCCTACTTACAATATGTAATCATTCAAGTATTTATTGAAGATATTTGTGGTCAATTTGGACAAATAATTCTTATCATTCCCCATGTTGAAAACTGCCAAATCATTTGATAATTGATTAGTCCTAAAAAAATCATCATTCAGACAAAAGATGATAGTTTAAATAACAATTGGCTTACTTGGAATATAACTCAAACAATGTTTGCAGATAATTATAGCTCCCAAGTTTGGAATCTAGCCTTTGTCCAATATATTCCATGAGTTTTAGTTGGTAAATATTAAGAACAAACTTAGCCATCACTTGTTCAGGGTTTTTGAACACTTTTTGTATGATTTCATTGTTGTACTTGCAAAGTGAAAAGAGATGACCAAAGACATCTTTTGATGTAAGGGACTCCTACAAAATGTATGTTTAGAATTTAAACTTCAGACAATAGGACAATTTTTATTGAAATTCATACTAACTGGTTGACTTTGTTCAATATAAGCATCTATACATTCAGAATAGCCTCTAAATTGGGATAGAGTATTAGCAATTTTTTTCATTTTTTGAAGATCATTATTGGACATTGCATTTACAAATTCTTCTATCAACTTTTTTTCAATGTCACAATATTTTCTTTCTATCTTTTGTATCACACTATCAAATCTGAAAAAACAGAGGTGAAATTAGAAAAATTTCTGATAATCATCTACTCCAAATAATAATTGAAAAGAAACTATATCCTGAAGAATGAATAATTAAAATATTCATAGGATTGAACACTGTATTTGGTGATGAAAATGTGGATTGATAATCAGATAATGAGATTATACCTATTCAAAACCTGGCCCACCTATATTTTCAGAAAAATCTATTCAAATACCTAGGTAAGTTTATGAAATTTTACTCACTTTCCCTCAGGCAAATCTTGTGAAATTATGTACAGTTTCTGGATCATATCAGCTGCTTCATCAATCTATAACCAGAAATATCAGTGAATATCATATTATATTAGTTTCTAGATAATAGTTATAACTTACTAACTCAGGATCTGTGAAAATAGGTGATAACTTACTAACTCAGGATCTGTGAAAATAGGTGATGATGGAGAGTCAGCTGAGAGGAACTCTGTCATGTGTGTCAGCATTTTTTGAGCATCAACTACCCTTGATCTAGGACCATTCACACTATCAAGTTGATCACCCAAATGCAGAACCTTTGTAGCCACATGGTTTATTTTACTGTCCAGCTCTTGAAATGTTCCAATGGCTTGCTAGAAACACAATTGTGTTACATTCTCCATGTGATAATTTGTTAATCTCACTTTGTTTTGTTCTAGTAGTGTGTATATTTCTTGAAAGAATGTTGCTTCCTCTTCTCTCACAGCAGTTTCTAGTTTCTCGCACTTTTTTTGCTGTCTTTCTTGTAGCAATGTTAAATCTCTGAAATGCAATATCAATGAAGGGATGTTTATACAAGAGCAAGGAAGAGCTACTTTATGGCCTGTACAAATGATTCATGCAATAAAGTTGGATTCAATTCGCCTTCATCTCCATCGTTTTTAGTCTCTGCTATTGTTCTCCAAGCTAGGCGTTCAACAAATTCCTCAGCATCAAAAGGATCCTGAAAGGGAGTTCATTAGGATGGTTATTTGGTAGATATGGTATTTACCAACCTGCTCCAATTCTTTCATGAACTGTTGCATCATTTTGGAAGTCTGTAGCTTACAAATTACAATTCTTTTACACAGAACAGTTTATAACTGGTATAATGTTGAAAAATACCTATTCATTTATTTTTGTTTTTTATTAGGAAAAGAAAACAAATGCAAACGCAAAACAGTAAACACATGTCTCACTTCACTTGTCACTCTTGTCAGGAAAGTCAGCAGGTTGTTTGAAAGTTGCGTTTTATTTATCCGATTCCGGTTGCTACTTTTCATTTCGTCTCCCTACAAGGATTGACCACTGGAAACTGGAGCTGACTAGGAATGACTGTTGACAGTTGTCAAAAAATTTCATTAGATTGACGAAACTTTTTGAAATTAGAAGACATGACTTTCAAGGGACCCTCTAGTAGAAGGTAGAAGACATTTTTATCGTGAGGATCACAAGTTTATGATTCTTTCAAGTGGGGCAGGTTCCATGTTCATAGGAGTAGTAAAGATTATAAACATTTCAATTGAATTTATCCATAGAACGGCTAGGCTCTGGAATTCATTGCCTGAGGAAGTATCACCAACCACATATAATAATCTCCAGAAGTTCAAAAAAAATTCCAATACCTACCTCCTGTCCCAATCCTCCCTAGGAACGCACGATATAATCTTTGAACATTATAGGGATTTCCTTTCGTGCGCTCCAAGAGATAAAAAAATATGCGCTGATTCATTTTCTAGATTCTTAACTCTAATATCATGACGATGAAATTATTCGGAGCCCTAATATATAAATATAACCTCCCGTTTTATTCGTAAACGCCATTCTGTTCCCTACCACCACTACCAGAATGAAACAAATAAAACGAAACTTTTAATCCTACATTATCAAAGAATAGTAGGTTGACATTATTGAGACGTCATCCATTTTTTAATCCTGGATTTTGACCACAGTAGAGAGCTCTGTAAGCTCTCTACTGTGTTTTGACTGACTAAAAAACTAGTAAAGTAAAAAAATCTGAGCCAAGATTGAAGAACCTCAAGACAACCTTTGAGACTTTTGAAAGATAGGTATTTCCTTATTCCCTAATACCTATGACTCGAAATTTTGTAAACTGATTGCTTTGCACCAAGAAAACAGTTAGTTTTTAGGTTTTTAAAATGATGAAAAATTGAACATCTATGTACTTTTAAAATTTTTTTATTGGGATATAATAACAAACAAATCAAACCAAAATAGCAAACAAGCAGGATACTGACAACTAGAAATATTCATTAATAAGAAATTTGTCTGTTCAGGAATATATTTAAATGGAAATATTCCATGTTGCTAATAGATTGACAAATTGATCATTAGAAAAATAATCTGGATATATCAGAAGTCCTATGATTATCAGAATAGTCCATCCTTGGATTCAAATTATTTGGCAACCAATGTCAGTATATTACATTGTGTTTTCAACACAACACTCCATTATAAAAGATGTGTATCCATTATCCATCATACAATTCATCAAGTGAGGTGTGGTTTAAAAAAATTTAATAATCAATAAAAAACTACCTAACAGTCACATTTTTCATGAGGTAGACCAAAGACATATATATCTGTAGAATCCTCTCAAAATTAAATCATTGTAAATAATAAATATATATTCCACATTCAATCATTCACATCACTCTGAATTTAAAGAAACATTGACTAGGAATGAATTCTAGCAACATAAATGAAAAACACAGTAGTTGAATGTAGCATGTGGGCAGTCTATATGAAAATGTCTTCCTATGACTAAAGATTTACAAATTAATTTAATCCAAACTAATCAATTCAGGCTTCTTTATGTGTTTCAATAACATGTATTTTATATTCATCAGGCTTCTGCCACTTTTCAGCTGCCAAGGCATTCAAAGGACTATCAATGTTAGGTTCACTTAGCAATGACTGTACAGACAGTAAAATGGTTCTGACATCATATAGAGCAGACCATTTGTCTTTGAGAATATCCAGGCATATGTTGCCACTGGTATCTACATTTGGATGAAAACAGGGTGTGATAAACTTCACTATAGGTGCTGTGTATGGATATGAATTAGGGAACTGTAGGCTGAGCTTGAATTTTAGAGAATCATAGGCAGAGTCTTTGGGCCCCAAAATGGTGCCTATCCACTTGAAAAGGTTCTCACCTTCTGGAAAGGCAGACACGTTCGTCTCCTGGCTCATCATTAGAGTCATGAGCTCTTTGTGTAATCTGCAGAACAAAAAATAGTCTTATAGACAAAAAATGAGGTTAGGATATGAAGAAAACATACCTTTTAGTCACTGCATGATTGTCGTTGGATGATGTTTTAGCTTCGTCGTTTTGTTTTCTCGTACTAGTTTGTTGCTCGAAGAGAGGATTCACGTTGAGGGCCATTTTTCGATTTTTTAAATTTCTTTATCAAAATTGATTAGTTGTTGAAAGGTAAATATCATACAGCGGAAATTCGTTATAAAAGATAAAATGATGGGTGAATGATAGACAAGAAATGGTGAACTTTGATTTGTGGGTTAATTTTCAAATCAGCCAATCAGGCGCACCGACCCACTATGCTTCTTCTTCCTTATTCAACTTTTTGTTTTTATCGAATACTACGGAGACCATTATGCCATTAGCTCTATTAAATGTTTTTCGCAAGGGCGAAGCAAGACTAGTGGCTACGTTGGCTAGGTACGTTTTTAATATTCTTTATGATTTTTGTTCGCTGAAGAGTAGAAGAGACTTGTTCATTTTGATTTTGAAAAGTTTCTGTTAGTGGTGTTTCTGTTTATATTTATTCATTTTAGTAATTTGTTATTTTTCGTAAATACTTAGTTTTGCTGATTTCATTGAAAGTGAATGAAACAATTATGCAAAGACAAAGATTATCTCGTGAACTGGCCAAAATAACTAATTCGCCACCTCAAGGTATTTGTGTTTTCCAAAAGGATGACAAGCTACACCATTTAGAAGCCAACATTACTGGTCCAGAGGAAACTCCTTACAAAGGTGGAGTTTTTACCTTGGAAATAATGGTCCCAGAAAAATACCCTTTTTCGCCACCATCTATCAGGTTCATTACAAAGATATACCATCCAAACATAGATGATAATGGTAGAATATGTCTAGATTTGATAAAAATGCCTCCTTCTGGTAGTTGGAAACCAACAATTGGTTTGGAAGGCCTTCTAATAGCAGTCAGGATGCTCATGGAGTATCCAAATCCAGATGATCCCCTAATGGCTGATATTGCAGAGGAATATAAAAACTACAAGGACAATTATATCAAGAAAGCTAAAATGTATACAGAAAAATATGCTCAGTAGAACTTTGCAGGTATTATGACTTAGATTAATGTTTTTTGTAAGTGTTTTGATTATTTTCATATCACTTCATATCCTATAATTGGGATAAATGTTTTCACCATTTTTTTTTATACAGCAGTACATTAATTTTATATTACATCTCTCAATATGAGTTTATACAAACAATAAATGCAACTTAAACATTAACTACATGTGCAACATATACAGCTATGACAAACATATTTATATAGTACTAAATTCCATTTAAGGTTATTCAGATGCCCTTCTATTTGTACTTGTGTCTGATTTTTGTAAATTCTCACTCTTAATATGCAAACTTCTCCGGTTGTCTCCTTTTTTGGGGCTCTTGGCCCCACTTTCATCCTCTTCACATTCCTCTGCAAAACTACTTCTCACAGCTTCCGCAAAAGCTTCAGGATACTGTGCTGACAGTTTAGACTTGATTATCCTTATCTTCTTGAAAATATAGTCTAGGTCTTTTTTGGTGTCCATCAATAGTTGCATGTGTCTTTTGAACTCAGGTGCTACTGTCTTCAAGCGGGAGGCACTAAGTGCATTGCAGTTGGTCAACATCTCATTAGTTTTTTCAAATCTCTGCAACCTTTGAAGTTTGGGTGGTAAACAGTGGTTTCATATTTCCTAGGTAGGTAAATACTAAAATACTCACATCAATTTTTGGGCTCTAATCATTGATTCTACATCTTGTTGGTCTACTATTCCTGCCAGTCCTTGTATGAAAACTTCTGGAGCAGAATAGTTTTGAAAACATTCTATACTGAAGTCACTTTCAGGTGTACTTTTACTCTCATCCATAGAAAACAATGTTTTGTTTTTCTCCTGAATCTGAGAATGAGGTTATATAATATGAGTAGTTGAGTTCTTCTCATTTGGTAGCCCTTTGCATCAATGGTCTTCTGCGTCTATAGGCAAAAGGCAAGTAGGCATTACAATCGAAGTTCTTCTGCGTTTATAGGCAAGATGCAAGTAGGCATTAATAAAATTTTCCTAGTTGATGTAATGTGATGAATGATGGCGGATGGGCGTTAGGATCATTGTTAGGATCTAGTAACGCTCGTGTTGCATAAAAGATATTATTTTTGATAAAAAAATTGTACACTGTGTCCATAAAGTCACCCCGCCCCCTGGTAAAATATTGAACGGCTGGGAATTTTTATGTAATTTTTTTTTGCTTCAATGGTAGTTTTAGTGCTACATATATATTGTTAAAAAAAAAATTATTATATTTTTAAATGGAGTGGGGAGTTCAAAAATACCTCAATTGAAATGTCTTTCGATTCTCTATACAAACTCAGAATCTTAGACGAAAATATTCATCCAAAACAAAATGGCGGATGATAATGTTTGAAATCTCACACCAGGATTATTCTTTCTACTAGATGGCTATTGAAGTGCCTTCATGTGATCTTCAACTCTCTATTGGCGTCTAGAAAAGTTCTCTATCTATGATGATATCAAAAGGAAACCATTTTGAAGAGAATAACATGGTAGTCAATTATACCTTTTGGAACAATATGTAGCACTGAAACTAACATTGAAGAAAAAAACAAATTTCGATATTAAGAAGTGGTTCTTTGTTCCTAGCATTTTCTCTCCATATTTATTCTCATGGTAGGCATGGCATTTGTTGATATTTTGACGTTTGTTGAATATTGCTGTTATCATTTCATTTAGGAATGTCATTGCTGTGCTGCTTTCTTTGTGTATAGTCTTTTAGACAATGGAAATGAATACAAATTTTCCCAAAAATATCATCAAAATGCAGATTGATTAATTTATTGTGGGAAAAATCTAGACTCGTGTATATAGGACAAGGATTATTGTAGTTTCAAGAATTGGTATGTAATTTTATGAACTACAGAAAAAAACAATAGCAGACGTTATGATTCATAATCGGTCTGTTTATAGCAACCGTTGCCAAGGTTACATCATAAAGCAGTAAAATGGACAAGAGAGAAATAAAATAATATATTAATAACCAATTATTAGTGAAATATGTACAGTCTCAGGATTCCTAATGATTATGTATGAACACCACATATATAGCCTGATAAGAGTTTTTTTCAACAGCTCCTTTCAGTCAACCGAAATTTCAGTGGTTGTTCAGGAACAAAAGTAGGCGTAATTTTGTAAGTCAAGGATCCATAGTGATATCCAACTTCATATTTCCTAAAAATCTGAAATAATAAAAAAATAGAGTAGGCCACTTATTTTTTCTACAGCTTGCTTCATTACTTTTGCCAATAAAATATTCAGTTCAGTCTCAGCAAATCTTCTACCCAAACACGATCTCCTACCATACCCGAATGGCAAAGATATGAATGGATGTATTTTGTTTTGGTGTGCCGGGCAGCCACCAGATTGTCCCGATTTCAGCCACCTTTCTGGCATAAACTTGTTCGGTTCCTCTATGTATTCCTCGCTGTTGCTCACCACCAAATGCGGAAATATCACGTGGGTCTAGATAACAGAAAAACCCCTCATTAAAATAAGACTATCTAGTAATAATTGGTGATGAGATGATTGAAAGTGTTAACAACCAAACCCAAGTTTTAGCTTTCGGCGATGTCAGAGGCATAAGTTCCAGTGACTTTTGCAATTTTGCCAGACGTTCAATAATAGTTGAAAGATGTGTTATAGATATACAGTATGATGCAAATGTATGGAATAAATTCATTATTTCAGAAATGGGCGACATTTGAAGAAATTCCAAAAACACGTGAGTTTTAATTTTTCAAGCCTCATCTCATGACATTCATATGAGAGATGTTACAGAAGTAATGACGTAATGGGCGATTTTTTCAAATACAAACAGGGGTCATGTGACACCTCGTTTGAATCGTCTATCTTATAGTCAAAATTTTGCAGAAGAAGATTGAAATTAAAATGGATTATCATTTGGTTAACTGAATCTTGCAGAGGTCTGCTACTGAGAATTGAACATCGAAGGGTCGTCTAGTTGAAAAAATACACAATAAAAAAAGTTCTGAACTCTAGTTTTTGGATTTTTTTCGGAAGTCGTCTTGTTTTGAAATGAATTTATTCCATACATTTGCATCATACTGTATATGTTTTTACCCCTTTTGGAACCTTATATCCAGCAAGTATGGTATCTGATTGTAAACTTCTACCATTTCCAATGATCACAGGATACATTCTGAAAATAAATAGAAAATATTATTGATCTCGATAAAATAAATGTTCTCAATGACTATTCCACTCTTGTTCTCAAGAACCAATCAGAATCGACCATTTATCAGACGTGCTCTACCAATACAGAAGCCGAATCGTTTTTGAGCGATAAATTTTTTTACGATTATTAACGTCATTCATGATAAACACTCGAAAACCTCTCTTGTCTTTTTACTGTTGATAAAAATATAGATAATCAACACTGAAATACCTTAATGTTTCTTTTATACATGCCTTCAGATAAGGCATATTTTCTTGTACATTATTATCAACCTTTGAATTGCGTTTTGGTAGTATGTTTTGTAATTCTCGGAATAATTTTTCTTGTTTTTCGGGATTTCGTGATAGCTGGTAAATTGTGGATGCTGCAGCTATGGAAGTCTAAAAAAATACAATGTTAAATTTAAATATAAGGTGGACTTGCGAAATTGATCAAAAACTTACGGTATCTACACCAACGAGTAGTAGATCCAGAGCCAAAACGGCAGCCAATTTTGGATTTCCAGTTTTGATCAGTATTCTTTCCACTATGGAAATATCCTCCTCTTTGATATTATCGTAATTTTTATCTTTCATTTGATCCATCGATTGGTTGATATATTTCAAACATAACCTGTGATGAACAGAGACAATTTTATCCTAGTTTCCTGTACGTGGTGGCAATAGTGCGTCAGAGCTCGTGATTGTTCGGGTTCTGCCATTGAGTAACATATCGATAAGAAAATATAACTGGAAATCATTTTCGAACATACAGAGACAGTCAATATACCATATAGTTAATATAGGTATAGTGAGAAGGAACTGAAAATTCATTCTTGGCCACCCTGTGTACTTTTAGGAAGTGAATAAAATGAATCGGAAACATATCACAGACGTCTTGCAACCTATGATACTTAGTCCCTGTAATGCTTTTCATATAGTCAAT